ACCTTGCCCACAAAACGTGCATAGTGCAGTAGGCCTAGGTTTTTATTTTTTTTATTCTTGTTGTAGAAATAAATTATCTAAATTGAACAAATACTAGGCAGTATTAAAAGTGAAGAAATCATGCTAGGCTGGAATATTAGCATCATGATAACGAATGGCTCTTTTTCAGGTTGATAAATATTTATCTACTTTTTTTATTTTTCCTGTTCAGGTCGTTGTGGCAACAGTTGCCTTTGGAATGGGCATTGACAAACCTGATGTGAGGTTTGTTATTCATCACTCACTGAGCAAGTCGATGGAAAATTACTACCAGGAGAGTGGGCGTGCAGGTATAGCATTTCCACCTTTTCTAAATTATCAGGTCAGATGGTTTAGTGCTTGTGCAGAAAAGATGAAAGCAGGAAAGAAGTTTATATTTGTTCCTGTGATGACCAATTGTGGTACATAACCGCAGAAGAGCCTCAGTGCAGTGCGAAACTGGAATTATTTTTCTGTGAAAATTTTGCATTGTGGCAACATCTGTCAAGTCTTGATTTTGGTTTAGTGTTCAAAAGAACAACACTTTTATTGCTGAAATGTAAAGTGAAAGTAAGGAATAAAAACATGTATTTTAATGCCATATTTAAGGCAACAGTATAAAAATGTAAAAGGTAAAAATGAGGACTAAATTTTGTATATCCTTAAGATTTTTGCTTTTTGGTGTATGAAGCTTTTAATATTCCGTAACTTATTACAGTGAATCAGACAATACAAAGTATTTTTTTGTGCACCTAAAATTGGTTAATGAGGATACCAATCTATATCACTATATCAGTGTTTCAGAATTTTCATTACCCTGAATCATGTCTTAAGCTGTAGAGTTCCATCTCCTTAAGAGAATATACCTTTTAAGTCAAAGTATTTTCCGAATGAGGATATACTTTAATGTCTATTTTCTCTGTAGATCGTCTCTCGTTAAGCTTGCACATCATATTATACAAAAGAACATCAAATATTTAATAGTGATAAGATTTGTGTTTAAGTTAAAGTTTCATGAATAGATCTAAAAAATATTTTCTGGTGTTTATTTTCCTTTGAACAATTCTATTAACAAGATTTTTTTTTTTTAGGACGAGACGATCAAAAAGCAGACTGCATTCTGTACTACGGTTTTGCTGATATTTTTAAAGTTAGTGCGATGGTTGTAATGGAGAATGTAGGTCAACAGAAACTCTACCAAATGGTTTCGTACTGCCAGGATGCAAGCAGGTATATTACCTTTCTCCCTCCCATTTTAAATAATCCAAAACCATTTATTTGAATAGTGTGATTTTAATTAAATGGTTTGTGAAAGGACTGTTTACTATTAATGCAATACATTTCAGGTTCATGCATTTAAGAAAAATCAATTTCTTAAAATACCTCCTGGCACCACAAAGGCAGAGCCACAGGGTGTGCTTAGTAACATGCCTCATTCTTTATAGCTGTTGGGAAGCAGTAAAAAAACTGCAGATTTCCCCTTTAACCCAAAATATAAAAAGGAAGCTCAGAAGGAATAGACAGAAAAAGACTAAAACTGTTTGTATGGTGTACCTACTGTACAAAACATAGTGCTGTAACAAACATTTATTAGGATTCTTGGACAAGAAAAGAATGTTTACTTAGATATAACATGGTTTACGAAATATTTTGAAAGCAGCCCCAAGAGGTCGGTTACTGTATTTGCCACAGAGGGAGAGGGGGAGGTTGAAATTAATGCATGTGTCATTTCACAGCTTATTCTAGTGACTGATTGCTCTGGTAAGGTGGAGTGGTGTATCTACTGTATCCCAGTGGTAATAAGCTTCACGCACTGTAGGCACCTTGGCTGATTCCAGCAATGTCCCCTCAAGTATCATTTTTCTCGGCACTACGAAGAATAAGTGTTAATTAATATTGTTTAAAGATTAGGAATAGTTAGTAAGTAATGTTGCATTGGAATGAGCACTACTCCTTGAAGGCTGAAGGCAGACAAGCTGAGATTTTTTTCCAGATGACCACGAAATTACTTCATTGAACATTGCTTAATTGATTGTAGTTAAATTGTTTTACTTCTTTAGGCATTGATTAAAAGGCTGCCTATAAAACCTGCTGGACTTGGGCTCTCCAGGACCAGAGTTGGAGATCCCTACTGTATAAACATACTAAACTAAATAGCAAAAACGTGATGGATTTCAGACAGCAATATAGCATTTTACATAGTGTGGGACAAAAATAACATTCTTAGCACTTGTGCATTTTATGTGGGAAATTTAATGCCTTTTCCTGGCTGTGTTTGTTCAGGTATTTGTCTTTCATTTTGTGTGCTTTGCAAAGTTTGTCATTTTATTCTTACACAAATATTTTGCTGCAGGTGCCGGCGTGTCCTGATAGCGCAGCACTTTGATGAAGTTTGGGACTCTAATGAATGTAAAAAAATGTGCGACAACTGCTGCAATGAGGGCTGTGAGTGTTGCTGTTGGGTTATTTCTTGCAATTAGTGTGACAGTTCACATTATGCATTAAACCACTACAGTCTCTTTGTAAGAACACTGGGCATCAACAAGGCATTAAATACAATCATCCACAGTCTCTGCAGAATAATAATTGCTTACACTTATCTAGCGCTTTTCTGGACACGCCAATCAAAGCGCTTTACAGGTAATGGGGATCACCTCCACAACCACCAATGTGTAGCCCCACCTGGATGATGCGACGGCAGCCGTATCAGTGGGTAGGAGAGCAGAGTAATGAGGCCGATTTATAGATGGGGATTATTAGGAGGCCATGATTGGTAAGGGCCAATGGGAAATTTGGCCAGGATGCCAGGGTTACACTCCTACTCTTTTCAAGAAACGCCCTGGAATTTTCAATGACCACAGAGAGTCAGGACCTTTGTTTTACGTCTCATCCGAAGGACGGTGCCCCTTTACAGTATAGTGTCCCCATCACTATACTGGGACATTAGGACCCCCATGGACCGCAGGGTGAGCGCCCCCTGGTGTCCCCATTAACACCTCTTCCAGCAGCAACCTTAGTTTTTCCCAGGAGGTCTCCCATCCAGGTACTGACTAGCCTCACACCTGCTTAGCTTCAGTGGAATTGCCAGTGGTGAGGTGCAGGGTGATATAGCTGCTGGCTATGAATGAAGACCTTTGGCTCATTCATGTTCCTCTTGTCTATTTTTTGCATGCAACCAACAATTACACTTAAAATTAGTGTGTGTACTGAATGGATAGATAGTGGACAAACAAGTGGAAGCATCTGTGTAATCCAGTGATTTTGTTCCCCAGAAGTCGATAGATAAGACCCTAGGATCAGTTAGCTACTAAGAAATGGGCTAGATGGGCTGAATAGTTTGTAATTTTCTTATGTTCTTGGTTATCATGATCATAAAGTGTTTGTGCCCACAGTTGCCCTTTGCTGATGCTCTCAGCATTGATCTCCGAGGGAAACATATCAACATATACACTGTTGGTTGTGATAAGTAAGACAAGTTGCCTTGGCCACTAATGCTCCTGCCATAAGCACCCCAATAATCAGGCTGCTTTCAAAGTCTAATTATAAGCAAACAGACCTATTTATCCATGACCCTAAGCATGCTGGACTTTCATGCTAAATGAATGAGCCACACCTGTGTGGAAGCTCTTTCTTTCAATATTCTGTAATTGGTGTCCCTCATTTACCCAGGTCTTTCCATGCTTTTGTCCTCTACCTGTATGTACTGTAGAAGAGACTGGTATGTTTTAGATATATGGTAAACACTGTAGTCTAATGAGCTAAAGGGCTCATAATTACTTGCACATCTGGATTACGATAAGGTGTGTGATCTGTGTTTTCTTCCTTTCATAGCTGGCAGTCTTGTGAACATTGCTGATTATGCCAGAGACCTGATTAAAATCCTGGAGCAGGCCAGCCAGATGAATGAGAAGCTGACTCCCCTCAAGCTGATCGACTCTTGGCTGGGAAAAGGTGTTGCCAAGCTCAGGGTGCAGAGTGTCGTGCCCCCTGGGCTCTCTCGGCTGGAGATAGAGATGATCATTGCACACCTGCTGGTGCACCAGTACTTCAGGTACCACAGCTCTTTACCTGGGATGGAATTGTTCTGAGTTTTTCTTTTCCCTCCCTAAAGTGAAAAAATCCCTTAATTTAGTGGCTTGGCTAGATAGAGGACTAACAGGAACCTTTACACATTTTTCATGTACCTCTAGCAAAACATTGAGAATGGGTTCATATTTCATTGGAGTATACATTTTATGTGGATCCTCTTTCGCATTGAAAGACATATCCTTTTAATTGAAATTAATTGCTTTGAATTTATAATGTCACTGTTTGTTATGTCTTTTAGGCTTTATATTGTATGGATTTGGTAAGAGATGTCCTTCGAGTCTTTTTTTTAAAGTTACATCCCTTTTTAAAGGAGATTTCAAGGAGGTCATATTGAGCAAGTTCTGTATAATAATGTTTTCCAGTCCAGAAATCACTTTCATAAAGGGCATGGGATGAATCACCCAAATACCATTTCCCCCAAAAGCTCTGGGAAGGGATATATGAATTCATACAGTATATTGTTTTACTTTGTGTAAGAAAAGCCTTATACAGTATCAATATGGTAGCCCTGATCCATGTGGAATAGTAAAGGTGTTGGATGATACACTAGTTAAGATAACAGAAAGGCTTGAATTGCACCTACCGTATGTGAAAATATGAATTCCAAAACCCTTTATCAATTGACTCTCTGATCTCCACTGTGGCTATTTACAAGTAAACTAGATGCTGTAATTACATCGATTGCTTTAGCTGATCAGCTAAAGATGTTTTTAATGGGATTCATAGCTTTTGTTTAGATGTACTACCCATAGATAATATAATAATAATAGTAAATCCTTACACTTGTATAGTCGTTTTTTGGACACTGCACTCAAAGCGCTTTACAGGTAATGGGGACTCCCCTCAACCAATATCAATGTGTAGTACCACCTGGATGATGTGGCAGAAGCCAAAGTGCACCAGTATGCTCACATCACACCAGCTATCGGTGGTGTGGAGAACAGAATGATGAAGCCAGTTCATACATTACTAGGACTATTGGGAGGCCATGATTGTTAAAAGCCAGTGAGAAATTTGTCCAGGACACAAGCTAAAATCGACTTTTAGGATCATCCTGTATTTTGAAGTACTAGTCCGTATATACCATTTCTACACACTACTGCACTACAGATTTGCTATTGTATTTGGGTAGCAAACTTATTTGTATCAGTTACTGCACAGAATATAAGGTGGTATTGCGAACAATGTTAAATCCATTACATTCATTACAGCAGCATTGTTTTTATGCAGTACAGCAAATTGCCTCTTGGTATTTTCTTACAACAGCTGCCCTGTAAACATACACCGATGGACACAGTGACCATTTTAAATGGGAAAAGTAAGACTGTGCACTGTGTGAGGTTACTTCCATGCTCTCCTGCTGCCTGAGTTGAATGTAGCCCTGTTGGGTTTGCACTGCAAGCAGTTAGGGGTGAGGTCTCACCGCAGGTTGAGAGCTTTGCACATGGCAATGTGAATGCTCCGGCCTTTCACCTCAGGGTCAAATGGTTAAGTTGGAAGAAGCCACTTTTGAAGGTTAGAATCTGAAACTTGTGCACTAACTTTTGTCCTTTTGAACTTTCAACAGGGAGGATTACAGCTTCACACCATACGCCACCATTTCCTATATCAAGCTGGGACCCAAAGCAGGTCTTCTCAAGAAAGAGAAGCACGCCATCATGCTGCAAATGAGAAAGTGTTTCCAGACCATTGATCTTGTAAGTTCCAAGTCTGGTAATGATCTCTCTCTTCCTTCTCCCAAAAAGGGATAAACAGTGTACAATCAATGAAATATAGCATAGATTGGAAGTGTCATGTTCCAAAAACTGTCAGCTGTTGCTTTCATGCAACTAGTATGTTTTATGAACCACTCTAATGAAACCGTTGAATTAAGTAGCGTAAATGGTATTATGATATTGATATACCATATGGTATAACAGTATTAAGTAAAGGAATCTGCCCGCCTATTAGGGGAGTGTTATTCTTATACTGTATATAGAACAATTCCTAATGTCCAGGTAATTCCATTGATTCTTTTTCTTAAATTAACTTAAAAATCCTCTCACTTTTCATGATGCTCAACAGTTGATAAATTGAAACTGTGCTTTTCTGCTGTGCTCACTGTTCTTCTTTCTCTTTCATTTTTCTTTATATGACGCTTCTTCCTTAGTAGATGTGGCCAAGTGTATGTATGTCATCTCTTCATTTATTAGGTTGTGTGTGATTCTGACCTTAGTGATTCGTGCTTTGCGTAACCATCATCAGAAACTGTTTTAAATGGTTTGAATTTTTCTGTGTACATTCTAAAATAGTCATGAAATCAGTGCCTGAAGGTAGGTTTCTCTTCATCTCGTATCAGTGTTGTAAGCAATGTCCTGTTTTGGAAATGTTGTTCATTCCATTTGTCCATTGTTGTTGATCGTCCAGTCTGTCAAGATTGGCATGTTTGCAATTGACTAACCTGAGCAGTTTGCAGTTTATTAACAAAAAACAAAGCTTTCATCTCTTTGTAGTAATGATTAAATCAAAATAATATATTTTGGAAATAATTGGGGTGGGAAATGTCATGCACACTTTGAAGAATAATTGAATACATTTTCCACTAGGAGCAGATCAATGTTGAAATGTGCTGGAATCAATCAACTAACAGAATCCATATTTATATTTTTTTCCTGCTTATTATGGTAGGAAGTTTCCTTTAATCTTTTTCAATTGCCTGCTTTCCATGACGAACATCTTTGAGGTGAACTTATTTACCTAGGTGTGGAAACACAGATTGACTTGAATACCCAAGGTCATGCTGGAGAACTGGGTTGCCAAAAATTTGGCCCGTGGGCCAGTTGCAGTCCACCAGGCTCCTATGTCTGACCTGTGTGTCGTGTACATTCAGAGCCGGGATTCAAGTCGCACTTTGTCTGAACTTGCAGGTGCACATACCCTTGGAGATATTCCCATAATAGGGATCCCCTGGGGATCTCTGCCTCCGTCAAATAGGGGCATTGTGATTGGATGTGTCCGCAGATTTAGTTTGAGAGGAATGTGTGTTTGCACAAAAAAATTGACACCCCAAAATCTGTGCTCTTTTCCTCTGTTTTGGAGAAACCTCAGAGACTGAACTGCCATTAGTCTGAATGAACCTGTATCTAGTGAGTGTTCACAATCTCTAAACGATAGTTTTGAACTTGTTAATTAAGGGCTCTGCAGTTGCTACAGAGGAAATATAAGGAATGCTGTGTGGTTCAAAGGAAGTGGAGAAATTTATATTTTATGTATTTTATCACTACCATGACAAGAATGGGCAGGAGAGTTGCAGGCTAGTTAGTGTTGTTGTGTTGCAGCCCCCTTGGTCCTGACTTAATGTCTGGACAAGGGGTGCCTCCTGTGATGAGTTTGCTTGTTAACTGTGTTCATATGGGCTTTTGCAGAATGGTTGCTTGTTTTCTTCCACCTGTAGAAACACACTGACTAGTTTAATTTGCATCTCTAAATTGTTGGTGCGATGTTGTCTGCTCTGCGATGGACTGGTATTCAGTCCAGGGTGCAGTCCTGCCTTGCTTCAGATTACTGTGACCCTTAGCAGAAGTAAACTTCTTTCTGCCGATGGATGAATTGATGACTGTACTGTGGGAGTGCAGCCTGATCGCACCCGGTTGAGTAAGATGATTTAAAAAAAAATGCTAATTATACTGTTGCCTTAGTGATGTCAGAGCTATGTAGGAAGCATGATGAAATGGAAACAAGTCTCGAATTTAATTTCTGTGTTTGGGTTCAAACAGTGCCATCTCCATGTCAGTATAACCCAATTTCCATATTCCAAGTTTCAGTGGAAGTCCACTATTCCCTGTTTTTGTTTCTTCATCGAGGAGAGCTTCAAAACCACCAGGAAAATCTGCAAGAACAAGAAAACTCCAGGACCAAAAGCGAAAAGGTTTCTACACTTTTCTGAATGCCTACTACTTCTAGTGCATCAGCATTTTTTTACAGATTTTTTTTTGCCTTTTTTGTCTGTTTTTTTACTTCTTCAGAAAGGTCATGACCACAAAGAACCCCAACCCAAAGGAGCTATCAGTAGAAACTTTGCTAAAGATCCAAAGGAAGAAAAGGATATTTCGCAGGAGAAGATGGAGACAGAAGAACAGAGATAGCTTATTGACAGAAACGGAGCTAAAAATTAAGAAGGAACTCAGGAAAGAAAGGAGGAAGGCAAGGAAGCAACAAAAAAAGAGTCTTAAGGTGGGGCCAAGGATGGATGAGGATCTGTTATGGGCACCGTTATAAGTAATGTCTATAAGCAGTCTGATGATGACCCCTACTCGGTCTTGATGCACTTAACTAATTTCGCACCACTTATAGGGATTCCCAGCCTTGTGATTGTACATGCAGCACAAAGCTGATTCTCTCCTGATCCCTAAACTTTAAGACTTTGAAGAGGCCTTCAATCTGTCAGCCAGGTCAGGAACCCAAGGTTAATGCACTGATTGAGGCACATGCTCAGTTACATATTTATGCTTTTTTAAATCTCAGATTCTGGATTCTGGAAATTCAGTTATAAAATAGCACTAAAATAGTAGTGGTACATGTTGCTTTTGAGCTATCCATCTACGAGAGGTGTTCAAAAATGTATCCAGCCGGGATTTGATCAAAGATGACCCTAAGTCTACAAGACATGCGGGATGTGATGATCTTGGAGCCATCGCTGCCTTATGGGAAGAGCTGCACTTTAACCAAGACTAGTACTGTATATGAGGGATAGCCTGCAAATACGTTAGTTGCACTGTAAGTGCTGCTGCCTATCACAACTTTTCAGTTCAGTTTAGTACTTTTGCAAACTTGTTATTGGAGGAGTCTTATAATGTGAGGATTCTGCCTTTGGAACATAGATTACTGGAGCTTTTGCTAATGAGTCAGTTAAGTCTTTATTGCAATTTGTGATAGAAATGTGTGTGGGAGGAGACTTGGCCATAAGATGTTTTGTGTTTTGGTATCTGTTGGAGATGCTTTTAATGAGGAAGAATATTATTTAGGATTTCTAATGGATGTCTATACTAATATCTTAAGATATGTAGTGTAGTCTGTTAAATTTAGTTGTACTGTATTGAATTGCACATGGATATTAAAGGTGACAATGCTATATTGTAGGGTTATAGTCACCAATACAAAAATTTTTACATGACTGTGGTCTACTTTGTTAGTTCTAATGATATAATATCATAACTAATGCATTATTAAATGTACAGTCATAGTGATCCATGAAGCAAAATTCATTGGTGTTTGTATAATTCATTGTTTTGTATTTTAATAATGCTTTGGTTGTACTGTCACGGCTATGATGACAGTAGTTAGTAGTATTTTAGTGGGGCTCTTAATGACTCTTAATGTGTTGAGACCCTGTTTCATGTATGATTCTACCCGGTATTAACAAAAATGAAAATATAACCACTGTTACAAATATTTAAAACATGGTCACAGATCCTGGAAAAAATTGAGCATGTATTAATGTTCATTTATGGGAAATCATATTTAGATATGCTTACTTGAATTAAATTGTCTCCAAACATTTCAGAATCGCTCAATTTCTCAAGTTCACACTGTAGCATATTTATAATTCAACAATAATGTTGCAGTTATAGCTTAGTCGTTAATAACATAATGAAATCTTTTTCAGTAGTGTCTTAAATTTACAATTCAGTTGGTCTACAATGTACAGTGTTTTTAAGTGATAATATCAGTATTTTATTTTTTTAATTTAATTGCCAACACATAGGTTTAATTAATTGTAAATAACTTCTATAACTGTTGCTAATGCTATCTTATTCAAATGCAATATTTGTTATTGCACATACACATTTTCAGTATTCACAGTTCTTTAAAATGAAAGGGTAAGTGAGAGGTTTTTTTTTTAACCTCATCCCAAGAAAACTCTTCCAAAACTGAACAAGTATGTGAGAAACTGTAACCTTGGTCTTTCCAAAGAAAATTCTCATTTGATTTTTTTCACACAAACTGCCCTCTAGGGTTTTTCCCGAGGTATTTAACGGTGAGCTTGGAGTGGCTATGTATTTTCATAACAAAATGACACTAGGTTACTTTTGACCTTTTCAGCAATGTATTCAACTAAATGGAGAAGTAGTACGTTTACTGTAATACACAGCAGTGACTTTAACTTCCCATCCCTGGACCATTTGAAGAAGCGGTTACCCCTTACAGTTTTTTTGTGGATTGGTAGCATTCTGAGTAACAATGTCCAACAGCATAGTCAGAAACGAAATCCTTTGAATGTGGGGTGGCCAAGACGTGCAGTCTCCTTTTCCATCAAAGCCATGTAGGATGCTCTTGAAATGTTGCTTCCCAGCATCGCTCTCCTCGATCTTTCCCATGGTCGGCTGAAGAAGAAAGGATAAGAGGATCGTACTGTGACAGGCCTAAACAACTGACTTCATTTTTTTGGTCTTGACCAGGGAAGCCTATGAGGGAACCTCCTTCAAGTAATCGAAATCGAGTGCACTGACCAAATTAACATTCTGGACTTCTGTAGAACCAGCAGCGAAATAAACTAGTGAGAACAATGATTAAGAGCATTTAGAACTGAGAACAGGAGGCAGTTTTTTTGCTCAAAGAGGTGCTGGGGATCTGGAACAAGCCAGCAACCATGTTGACAGAAGCCAAGTTGTCTGCTTTGACAACATCCTGCTCTCATTATAACATCTTGTATATGCTTAATATTTTTTTAGGATTGGATTTGTGCTGAAACTCTCCATCATTAGATTTCGTACTGAGAAATGTTCTCATACTGTACTTCCTGGTGGAACAGGCAGAGCTTGTCTTCATAGAGGGTGAATTGCCAGTTTGAGTTTTGGTAATTGCATACTCCTGCTAGCAGTTTTTATTGTCCGTGTACAACTTTATGCATTTATTTTTATATTTCCTTAAAGGTTATTATACGCTCAAGAAATTCCTAGGTGATAAGAAAGCCTAAAGTAAGGATCATACATGATACAATTTGTATTCATAGCTTGCGTCAAAGGTTACTGTAGTTTGTGAAAGCAAAATTTCAAATGTATCAGTTGATCTAAGAAGTGGCATATCAAGTCATTCCCTCACTCAACATCATATCCTTGTTGGTGAAATGTTTTTGCCCATTTGTTACATATTGGTTTAAATTATGTACAAGATGAGATGTAAAAAACAAAGCCTGTTATTTGGAGCCTACTACTCCGTGTTCTGGAAGAGTAGTGAGTAAAGAGCACTAAGTAATGATCAGGCTTTATTAAGAAGGAACATGGCTTATTTTTATTGTATTAATATCCTTAATTGTGCACAACTCCATTTTCATGTGTAGTCTGGGAAGTAGATTTAATTTGCTCCTACTCTTACATTTGTAATCTACACTTTAAATGGGGCCGTGCATTCTTCTAGCCTGGAAGTATGGTTATTCATGTACATTTGCCTACACCAGTTGGAATTGCAAGTCAGCTTCAGCCAAAGGGAGTTCTGTAGCATCTCCTGTTCATGTGTTCTCTTTACCAAGCTGCTCTTCTACACTGATTACAGGAACGTATATTCAGAAATGCTCCGTTGTGTTTAAATGTTGATGCAGTCACTATCGCTCCGCTTATTGTTGCACATGTCCTAGTCCCCTTCATGGTTATTTTCTGTGTTTGAAGCAATGCTGTGTGCACCCCAGGCGAAAGTGCTCATCACCGTTTCCTCATTCTCCCACTAGTTGGGTCTTCACAGTTATATTTTTATTTCTATTCTAATATCTAATCTGTTTTGATCAACTAATTTTAGAAGAGACCAAAAGGGCAGCCACAACTGCTTTCAGCCACCATTTCAGAAATTGCCAAGAAATATCCGTTTGAGAACTACTTGTCTAGACCTACTGAACAGACCGCAAGGATTAGCACTTCGTTTCTGCCAACTTGCTTCTAACAGCAGTGCTTTGCCAGCCCTCATACTGAGCCTGTGACTTCAATTCCTAATCCCTGTTTCTCCAGTTTTTGTTTAGTAACGTTCTCACGGTCCCGGATTGTATTAATGACCCACAGGTAAAGTCCCCAAAGTTGTCCAGCGAGAGCGGAGGTAAAAATAGTGCACAGATAAAGAAGGAAGGGGGCGACAGGAAAAGGACTCTTACTGATGACTTCGGGACACCCAAGAAAATCAAGAAAGAGGTTGTTTGAACCCTCCAGAAGAACAAATAAAAAGTACAGTCAATTATTCTGTATTTGCCAGTTCACAATTTCTGTAGTATTGTTCAGCATGGTAAAGCTACTTTAAAGGGTTATAACCTGCAAATGGCCTTTTACCTTTCTACCTTTCCTTGAAAGCTCAAAGCGTTATTTGAACTATTGTGTAGCATGAGTGAATGAAACTAATCATATGATGCCGTTGTTGATAATTGTCATTTTGTTAACTTCCCAAAGACTTTGGATTCTGCAAACAGCTGTAAAAGAGCAAGGCCAGAACTGGTCATAACAAATCTCAGTGTACAACTTAAAACGGAACCAGAGTAATTACTAAATATGTGTTCAGGGGAAGCTGAATTTGGCATTATTTGTAACTATTACTTTCACCTCTGTTGCTACAGTAGCAATTTAGCATGTTCACATATGCATGTAACCAATCATGCTTTGTATACTAACATCTAGGAAAAAGTTTGTAATTCTATGACTAACATTCACTAATCGCATGGTGGGGTAAAGCATGATGGTGCGTACTTGGTATTTCTGAATTGTTCAGCACTAATTCTCTTCTGATCTCTTTAGGTGGATGCATTAACAGCTGTGTCTGATGAGGAGGGTTCTCCTTCTATGGTCATCCAAGCCAGACCTCCACGCCAACATAAAAAATTTACTAAAAGAGCAAAGAATAATCACAATCGCGCTAAAAAATACTATGAAGGCCCAGCTGAAAACTACACTTCAGAGGATCCAAGTCCAAAAGGAAATAATGAAAGAGAAAGCACTGAACCCAGTGTTCCTGCTAACGGACAGTTGATACAAACGAGTCCGGACCATGCTGCCATAGAGGTTGATGTGTATATAGACAACCCGGGAAATGAAAAGAAAGAAACGAATCCTATATCTCAGACATCCTTACCAGTTAAACCAAAATGCAGTTCAGTTACTGTGCCCAGTAAAAAAAAGAAAAGGCATGCTGTAGCAGACAATGCAGATGTACCCCTGAGCCAGCAGGGGGCAGCCCTGATCAGCACACCATCAGAGGTTTCAATTATCTCTGCAGCTGCAGTTGAAGAGCTGAGTCATCTGCGCAGCTACTACAGCAAGCAATTGCAAAGGATCAATTATGTTTCTCTGGAAAACCTGCATGATTCAGACTCTGGTGTCATTGGTTGCACTACAGGAACTCTCAAAAATATCAGAATGAACTGGGGGTCGTCTATCATCAGAACTGCTCGTAGCCTATGGACACGAGTCAGCATGCGGAGGAAACATTTCTTTCGAAAATAACGGAAAGCTTTTTTTTTTTTAATTAATAGCATCGGAATCTTTCAGGCTTCCCCCAATATTCCAATTTCTAAGTCTCATGAATTTTGAAGAAAGTACATCTTGGGGTTCTGCACTTCTGTCTTTGCACATTTCGGGAGAGTGAAGTTAAAGTTGATGTACAAAAAAATCAAATGTAAACCACTGCCTTATATATGGATGGAAAATTGTCTTGAATTTGTTCCAGCAGGGTATTTATAAGTTGTTGTTTTTTTAAATGGACATTGTTATTACAGAATTAAAACAGATATTCTTAATTAGAATAGTACTTTCTAAATCATGTTACAGGTTTTTGGATAATTTATGTTTTACTGTAAACAATAATTCAAATGTAAAAGTCATGTGAGCTCAGTATAAAGTGGAATAGTACAGCCAGAGACCTTGTCTGTATTATATGAAATATTCCAATAGAGAAGTTGTGATTCTTGTACAGATCAAAATACATTAGTTCTTTATCATCATTCTTTTATTAAAAATGTTCCATTTGAGATCACTTTAAAATAATATTAGTAAACATGGAAGAAGTGCATCCTGATCTGAATATATTCTGTTCCTGCAATTATCCCTTAGAAATGATTTAAATTTGCAAATAAAATGGGTAATACAAATTGATTTTTGTAAGACATTTCAAAGCCGTTTACTGGTCTTCACCTGTCTTATCTTTTAAAGCATTTGATTTTTGCATTTGCTTCAGGTAGCTAATGCAGTACTGACATTCGAATATAAATGATGGTTGTCTGTGATGTGCATCGATGACGGTTGTACTTTGTGCAGCTCATCCATTTGGAAAATGAGCTTCCCGAAGAAACTGGTGCGGGAGAGTTTTTTAAGTGGGAAAGCCGTTGCACTGGGGCAGTCCCAAAGGTAAATGCAAATTTTCTTTTTCTATCCAGATTAGCAGACACAGTAGTGCAAATGTCATTTTCATTGTCCCTCGCCTCTCATGTTCTGAAGCAAACTTTAGAGTCAGGATAAACACGATGAAGGGGGAGACTAACAAGGAAACAAGTTCCCTAACAGTTATTAATATGTCCATTTAAGTATTTTGACTTTATTGTTGGAAAGCAACTGTTTATCAGAGAGGTCTTAAGAGCTAGACTAGATCTGTTTAGACAATCATTACAATTATTTGCCTGGTTCCATCCATACTCCAACTCGAGGTGAGTTAGTGTCTAGACTCATGAAATGACAGAACAATCAGCACAATAACATTAGAGAGGTGCCCATGATGTGGTACAAAAAATTAGATCTGCATTAAATTCAATCCACAAATTACAAATTCATACTACATTATTCAGTGCTGGCTTAGTGTTTGGCAAAACCCATCTAAAAGGATTGCTTCATATAATAGGGCAAAAATGTATGATGGATGTTATGGTGTGTTTTAAATTGGACTTCATTTATTTGATACCAAATATTCCAGATCTTTGGATTTTCCATTATCTTTCCTTTGCAGGATCCCTGATGAAGTAATCTGAAAGTACATGTTCATCGATCATGAATTCTTTCATGAAATAGCTCATATGTTCAGTAACACGTTATTGTCCTAAATGAAAGGATTGGTAAGATATTCAGGGACATTGAGACGTGAAGACCAGATGTCAGAAAGAACTAGAATAAGAATCATCTTCAAGCCCAGTCCATTTGTATGTTGTTACTTCCAACTGTTTGAGTTTAAACTTAAGCTGAAAGGGCTTCCCTCAAAATTTCTTTCTCCTTAAACTCATCCATAAAATATTCAAGTCAAGAAGCAAAATTGATCTGGAGAAAGCACTTTTTCCAAGCTAAACTGTAATTTATAAAGACCACTTCTTTCTTCCACACTTAATTTCAAACTTAACCAAGGAAAGTCCTTCTCATACGGAACCTAAAACACAACAAGCATATGCTGTCAGTCGAAGTAGTCCTCTATGTCAATGTTGGGGTTGAGGAGGTCCTCTCCATACGCAGAGAGATCCATCTGGTTCAGGATAAGGTTTTCAAATGTCTCTTCGAGGTCCGTCTCCCCAATGAGCACGGCGCCCACCATCCTGCTGTTCCTCATGACTGCTTTCACGTACTCCTGGCCTTTCGTGCAGCGCAACAGCAGCTCGTGCTCACTGCCCAGGCCCTGGGCGTTGTACTTTCCCAATAACACCACCTGCAACGCAACACCATGCATCAACAGGGATTTAAAATGCGTTGCATGTATTAAACAGCTCTGAACATTGTACATTGCAAAACCGACGATCAAAACAAGAATGAAGGTGGCCAAGAAATATTTACTAATGTTTGATCGTTATAAGTTGCATTGTTGTGAGAACACACTTTATAAATCCCTTTTCTCTTGCATTTCAGACATTAAATGTTGCCACCTAGTGTCCACATTGAACCACATAAACTGCTGTGTTGCATTTCTGTGTGTAATTTAAAAATGTACTAAAACATGTACATTTGTGTCAAAATATATGTAATTTGTATTACACAATTAATGTATAATACTAATTACTATAATCCTAAAAATTAATACATGTCCTTAGTTTTAATACATTTTGTTCCAAGTGCATGATTGTCTCAGATTCTCATACTATTAAACCTGTAGGATTAGGGAATTAGTTTTGTGGTTATTTTATTTCAAGTCAAAGAGAACGGTGTAATATGTTTGTTCAATTAAGCAGATATTTTTCCCCCCACTACGATACGATGACTTAGTATCAGGTGTGTCACAGCATGCCTTTGCTGTACTGCTAAATTACGAGCCACCAACACCTAACACCATCTTTTCAGTTGTGTGATTTTACATAAATACGACAACTATAAAGCCTGGCAAAAATCCACATCTGCAAAAACAAATCTTTAACATTTTAGAACATCTGAGTGTTTCTAACAATCTGCTATTCTGTCTGTTACAGATGTTTATCTTGGTGATAATGTCACTGCACGGACAGATAATTAAGAGAATAAATTGGTATTTTACAAGTACCATGACGGACACTTGAACTAAAACAAGCACCTCGCATATTCCAAATATAATTTTTTAAAGAACACATTTGCCTGAGGTGTGGAAGTGTTGGGGTTTAAGACCATGATTATTTAGTTTGTTAATGGCCTTCAGTTGAAGAAAGAAAAATGGGAAAAAAACTTCACACCACAGGAGATAAAACGCCCCATCATGTGAAGCCAGAAAGGCCCACATTTCAATGACCTTCACCGGTCATCAATGATCAACTGTGTATTGCAATGTAGGGGCGTTCCTCGTGCAATCCTGTCCAAGCGTCAGTGTGTGGACGGGTTCCCATTCTTCCCTTCACCTTGTAGCTGAAGAAGCGCGTGATGTGCGAGAAGAGCTCGAAGCAGAAGTCCAGCTCGAGGGGCTCCCCCAGCGCATCGGCACCCATGCACCTCGCTGCGTACCAGCCCATCTGTCGGGCCTGCGTCCACAGCCTCATCTGGCGAGGAAAAACACACCGTCAAACCCACCCAGACCTGTTCCCTGGGCTCTTGGGGAAAAACGGCTTGTATGTGTTCACGATTCCGCTGAGAACCCGCTATGCCGGGTGACCTTTCGGCTGTTCTTCAGAAAATGTCTGCAGAGCTGCATTCAAGATGCCTGCAGACGGTGAGCATGTCCTCTACTGATACACCTACAGTCCAAAGGCAATGGACTTTACTAGGCTACACCAAACCTGAGGGAACCCATGAGACCGTGTTACCTGTTGCCACAGAGCACTTGGCTCCCAGGAAGCTGTACACACATCTCCGGCTGCATACACATCTGGCACGGACGTGCGCATGTGATCATCCACTTTGATCCCACAGTCATCCGCTACTTCAATCTACAGGAGGAAAACAAACTCAGATCAACATGTTCCTTAGGTCCTTCACTGTACTTGGTGGAACAATCTCTTAAAAATACCCCCATTCATTAGTGGAGAACCCGAAAAAGGCGAAGTTTGAATTTCTGAGCCTTTGAAATCATAAGAACCACTATTATTGCACACAAAGCCACACAATTATCTTCTTTTATATTAAATATCCATTTACTTTTTTTTCTTTAAACGTGTGGAATGTGTTGTGAACATAATGTACTTACCACTTCAAAGTGACTGTAAGCGTTAAAGCAACATAATGTTAAAATTGTGCCAGGATCTGAATACTGTAGCAAGGCTCTGTACAGTATTTGCACATTTTACAAAGCACAGACTGTTAGGGGAAACAGGTACTTACACTGTTACCTTTGGTGAACGGCTCCGTATTGGGAATAACTCCGGTAGCGCTGACAATGAAATCACAGCCGTAACACTTCCCATTGGTCAACTGAACATATACTGGCCACGCCTCTACAAGGACAGAAGACAACATCTCATGGCTTATCAAACACCAGCTTTAAGAACAAGGCAAAGCAGCTGACCGCAGTGTGGCTTTTCACAGAAACAGGTGACCGGAACACCAGACCAGTTCCTTTCTCTGCTGGAATAACCTGAAAAAGGAAGACCTCCTCAGCACTCAGGGCCCATTCACTACACTTCCCAGCCAGGTATATAGAGTCTGCTCATTTTTTATTAGAGAATTACCTTATATTATACTATATTTACAAAGCGCCTTCCATTTATAAGAATTCCAAAGCACTTATAGCAGTACATATCCTGGAGGAGCTCCATTTCATCCACCACTACAAGTACAGCATCCACCTGTGCGTTGTGTGGCAGTCACTGTACTCCAGCCTCCACACTACACAGGAGATGAGCCAGAAACATAAGCAATTACTTATTTAACCAGTTCAGTTACAGAGGCAGGGGGAGGATTCTGGTGGGTGAAAATGACCCAGCTGTATGATCAACAACAACAACTAAACAAGACAACAAGACATTCACGTGGTTTACATAAGCGAACAGTTTACCAAGGCCAATATGAACTAAAAGAAGTTTGCAAAGCAGATGCAGTATTATCTTTATTAACTAACCTTTGTCAGTTGGTGACTTTCCCTTATTTGAACTGTGGTCAGGAAATAACAGCGGTATTTGTTGAGACTTCATAAACTCCTCCTGTGTGTAGATTTTCTGTATTTCACACTGGTACTCAACATGGACTTTGTGCGACACCTGCAGATCAAAAATGGTTTAGGAGTTCTCTTTTAAAGTGCCTTTCTGAAGCCAAGCTTTATCTACTTAATCACCCAAGGTATATTTACAAAGGCAGAAAACAGGACAGAGATGTTTACCTTTTTTTGTGAAACATCTATAATAAGGCCACAATCAAATAAAAATATCCATGATCACCTTAATTTCCCAGTTTTTCAACTGTGGCTAGTAAATCAAACCCAAAGGCGACATTCTGTCTAGCATTTTAAATCGGCACTAAGAGCAGGAAATAAATCACAGGAAGAAAATGGCAAGAAAAGAAGCGTTTTTTTTCTTTCTCATGAATGCCGAGATTATATTTTGGCTAATGCGATACAGCAAGCGAATTCTGACATTGTTCTGTCTTTAGCTACAGGATATTCTAATTGCAGACAGCGGATCTATTCATGCTGCTGTTTATTTTAAACCTCCTCATAGCCACCTCTTGTGCTCCATGTAGTTTCATCCCTTCATGCCAGTCAGGCCCCAGGGCACTTCCCAGCTCTCCAGCAGAAGCTGAGCATCTCTCTTGCTGTTCGTGATCTGAAATAAAACAGAGTTCACAGCCTGAGAAGGTGCACTCTCTTCCAGCTATTCCTCTGAAGATCACAGCGAATCCATCACCTAGACTCGTTTTATGATGACCAACTGAAAAAACTCTCCTTTGCCTCAGCATGTGATTGCTGTGGGGAGCCCTGACTGACATCTTATGAACACAGAAAGCTGTAATTTAACATTTACATTTAATTCAGGTCGCACATCCACATGCAGGGGCATGAAGCCATTCTAGTGGGTATACACGTTTATGCACACCTGAATTATTATTATTAAACAAATAATACTTTAAGATGGTGATATGGTAAAGAGACAGATAGCAATAGAGAAATTATATCACACTCCCTACAAATGCTGAAACTTCAAGAAGTATATTAACCCCCCCCCATAAAAAACATTTTAGAATTCTACACCATATTTTCAAACGCAGCATCATATGTGCCAGCGTATTGATGGCATATGACCTTCATTTCTCAAACAGACTGTTCTGTCTTCTGTCTGCATATACACTAGCTGAAAACAAAAGCAGCCAATGCTCAAAACACTAGCAAAACACACAGACATTAAAAAGGTGGCCAACAAGCAATGAAACTTGACATGCTCAACAATTCTGTCCTGATTTTGATGCAAGGGAGAGCGCTGGGTTCATCTGAGCCTGGGGCAGAGATGAAAGCAGTAAGCTGAGCTGAATTCCAACAGCAGGTATAAATATTACAAGCTTCAGAACAGATTATTTTATATGGTTAATATGAGCATCCAGTAGAGGGCAGCATTTAGACACACAATGGCTTCAGGCCATGAAGTTATGAAGCAGTACTCAATCCCCTGGAAATAATGGTGGGTTTCAAATATATGGCTCACAGGAAAAAATCATGTATTTTAAAAGTTGGGCGCAATAAATACATATTAACTTTGTGATATGTTCTCATGTTTATTTTATTTATTACTATGCTACAATTTAACTGTTACACATTTCGTGCCATCAAATGGAGTATACATGCTTCATTTCTAATTGCTTAGGCATACACATCATCCACAGCGAGTCACCCATCAGAGAAATGTACTTCTATTCCAGTGAATCTAATTCAAGCTCATCTTAATATGGAGAATCAACTCAGGAGAGCAAATGAGATTTCAATCATGTCCGTGAGATGCGATTGCAAAATCTTTGTGCTCCCAAGTTAATTCTCCACATTAATATCATACATTCATGGGAAGGAGGGGAGCCAACTTAGCCCACTTAATCGCTAATCTTCAAAAGAGCTCTAAAGAGTCACCTGTCATATCAAGGAGGAAGAGCACACTGGTGGAAGATCTGTGCAAGCGATCTGAAAGGGTTAAAGGCCAGGAGGGCCAGCGTGGTGACAGCAGGTCCTGTACCTTCAGTGGTATACTTCGCTCTTTTACAGGGGGCTCGTTTCTCAGGTTTCTCTACGTCCAGAGTGGGAATCAGGAACTGAGCAGCTCCAGCATCGAAGAAGGTGTTCCCAATGGCTTGATCTTTGATGGCCCAGATAACTTCACAGCCTTCTATTTCATAACTACAGAGAGAAAACAGGCGCTGAAAATCCATTCAAAATGAACAACAGACACTAAAAACCTTCATACAGCGACAGGGATATGCGTTCAGTTACAAATACTACAGGGGCCACTAACAGCACAATGCACATTTCGTGAAGTCAGATATTACAGGAGGGATTAACATCTCTTTTCATGTTCCAATCTGGATTCAGACCCACAAAAATACCACACAGGGACCATGGATTCTGTGCAGCAGGGAGAAAGAAGCATCAATTTATCATGGAATTCCTGGCAGCTGACAGCTAATTATGGTGAAGATCTCGCAGGACGAATGCCCTGTCCCCTTTCTGCATTGGATATCGAGAGAACACCTTTCCTTAATTTCATCAGGTGTGTAAGAGAGGCTATACCTACAGCAAGGCTGGAGGACACTCAGCTGCCCCCTTCTTCATCTGCTTCAATACAGGACAAATGGCTAATTTAAACTCCACAGCAGTAATGACACAAAGGGTGGGGAAAAAAACAACCATTAAGCATGACCCTGGTCATAGCACTGCTATGATGCACAAACTTCTATGCATTCACACATCAAACACAGCTACTTACACGAGTTCCAGCGCTATCCCACCATTCCCAACAACAGTTATTCGCCTAGCTTGTGACAGACGCTTCTGAAACTCCTGCAAAACAAAGTAAATGGAAAAAATTGCTCAGATGCAAATACAGAACACACAGAAGTCCACAGACAGAAACACAAACTAGTTCTACACCAATTAATATCAAGACACTGCAGCATTTAGCAACAGATATCTGAGCTGTAACAATTTTTGTTCTTAAGGATTATATACCTCTGTTATAACATCCACCCAATATTCTAACTGATTTATCCAATAAGGGGTATCGAGGGGACTGAAGCCTATCCCGGCAAGCAACAGGCACATGGCAGGATACACCCTGGAAGGGATGCCAGTCCAGTGCATGGCAGACAGACACAAATGCACACACTCGCCTAGGGCCAATTTTGCAAGGAGCCAATTAACCTACCAGTACGACTTTCGACTGTGTGAAGAAACTGGAGCACCTCGAGGAAAGCTTTGTCAACACAGTGAGAACATACGAACTCCACACACATAGCACCCCAGGTCTAGAAATGAACCCAGTGCCCCAGCGCTGGGAGGCAGCAATGCTAACCACAGCTCCATCATGGCGCCTCTGCTGTAACAAATTAGTCTTTAATAGCTTTAACTTTCCTGGATTAAAGTTATTTAATGTTGCCCCAGTGCGGCTGGGTATATTTACCCTTGCACTGTCCGTGTCCCGGATTCCCAGCACATAGGGGTTGTCGTGGGCAATGAGCTTGGGCCTGCCTCCAGCGCAGATGCACAGCTTCTCATACTGAAACTCTCTGGCATCCTCTGTGAGCACTCTCTGCAAGCCCAGAAGACAACAGAATTACACAAGGTGTGGGAACAAGGGAAGGCTTTGGTATTAGACAGATAGCACAAGATGGAGACAGCGATCAGTTCTTTCAATGGATAAAAAAAACAAACACTATCTGGTGATAAGCCCAATGCATTTAACTAACAAAGGTCTTATTGTGCTATGACACATGATATTCCTTACAACTAATCAATGACTTAAGGTCTGCACACAATATATTATCCTAATAGTGCTCCTGGCTTAACCACTAAGGTAATACAACACATGAACACTGTGTACTTTCAGAATTGTAGTCTAAAATACACCTCACAGTGGCACAATTTAAGTTAATGTAAAATTATACTTTCTAAATTTATTACAAAACATGTATGAGGAACAAGAGGTGGAAAATAAGCATTTATTGAGTAAAAAAATATCCACATGAGGGCAGTGTTGTCTTGACCAAATATTTTCCTACTTTCAGCTATGTTGCAATTCAGTTTAACGAACATTTTTTAGTTACATATTAGAATGAATTAACCAAATGTAACTAAAACTAAGGGAATCATGAGGGGAACAGCAGGACTCAAAATCAAACAGTCAAATGTTAACAGAAATAAGGTAAGTCATAATACCTGTTCCAGCCTGAGGTCAACATGAAGTTAGCCATGTTAAATAATTGACACCGTTTTTAAACTGTTTCTAGAACCCTGAACTTCTTTAACAACACAAAAACAATGAAAAGATGACTCTTAAGCCACATCACTAAGAGCTGGTCTGCCATTGAATGACACTGCACCTCGACTCCCTGGTTTATTCAATACCATCACTCAAGGAAAGTGCTGTGGTACCTGAACATTACGAACATGCTCCCTCAGTTTACTGCACTTATCACAAAATACTGCCCCTCTAACCCAGTCCAACCCAGCTTGTGTGGCAGCATGAAGTGGAGCTGATAGAGATCTCACACGCATAAGAGACACAAATGGCCAAACTGCTTAGGTTTCCATTTCCTAATAATCCACCTAAAGCCTGACCATACCCGTTTTTGAAAGCTTCTGGATCATGAACCATATTGCAGTTATGTTTGTACGAAATGCTGCTATGGGTAGGGTTTCAGTGAGCTGTTTTTCATAAAGCAGGTAGAGGTTGTAAGTTTTCTTCAGCAAAAAAAATAACTTCAGTTACAAAAGACTCTCCTAGAACTCGTAAAGAATCTCACAAATGCAACTTTCTCTCTAAATATTTTTGGCCAGATTTGCCACATGGCCTCCATTCCTTTGTAACCCTATGTTCCTGTCACATCGCATTTAGTAGTCTTAAGTTCAAGTCACTTCAGTTTCTATCTAGACCCTGAAAGAGATCACAGACTACATAGCTTAAAATCACTAAAGACAAATTTTGATAATCTATAATATGTAGTGTTTCCATACAATTTATACACAAGCTTTAATGAAACTTTCAAGCAGAGGTATGCAGTGCCTTAGGTAATGGGCTATGAATCACCCATCATACAGTACCCAGTACCCAGTATCAAAATGCATATTATGAGGAAGGTTTACAGAGATACAGCACTAATTGCTGAACCCTTAGTCTCTGTTTCATGTATTTAAGGCTTGTGAAATTAGTATTCACAGAAGGTGAGAGGCAGGATAACTGCCTACAGTCAGACATATCGTATGCCAGGCGTCAGAAGGCAGGCTGTTTTCCACATCTCTACAATAATAGCACATTGTTAACAGCAGTGGGTGTGAGGGTCAGCACTGGGCCTCTCCCAAAACATCGATTACGTCCGTCTAAACCAGTCTGAGTCAGATTATGCGTTACTGCCTTAATTCTCCCCCGGCAATAAAATGTGACCACCATGACTTCAGAGAAATGTCATCTCAGTGCGCCCTTTCAACATTAAAAAATAACTCTGAAACTAAGAGATAAGATAAGAGAGATAAGAGGCAGGCATACAACTTTATTTGAAGTCAGAAAATAAAGATGATATTTTGACTGTTTTAGCATAAGCAACATGTGACTGGTGATTTAGAGTGTAGGCAGGGAAACTGGTAAAGTCACACTTCCAGACTACATTGAATGCTTCTAAATTCACAAGAATCAAAGGCCTGTAAATAAATGCATGTTTGCATGAAAATAAATGTAAATGCTTATGGTTTTTTTTACTTATGGACCACCAACGAAACATGAACCAAAGTGAAAACTATTTCAAACGATTTTTCTACTGTTGAGGTGCATTTTTGTTTTACAAGTTCTGAGAGACAAGAACAAACTATTCAGCCATGTTGTTGAAGCTAATGTACTGGCCCCTCAGACAAATTAGCTATTAATCAGAAGGGCTAGACAGGCCAAAAAACTTTTGGTCTCATTTGTACCTTTATGTTCTTAATTAAAAAAATATTCTACAACATATGTAGGACAAGGCTAACTCCTTAATACTAATAATAATTGCTTACACTTATATACCGCTTTTCTGGACACTTCACTCAAAGTGCTTTACAGGTAATGGGAATCCCCTCCACCACCACCAATGTGCAGCCCCACCTGGATGATGCAATGACAGCCATAGTGCTCCAGTGCGCTCACCACACACCAGCTATTAATGGGGAGGAGAACAGAGTGATGAAGCCAATTCATAGATGGGGATTATTAGGAGGCCATAATTGGTAAGGGCCAATGGGAAATTTGGCCAGGACTCCCAGGGTAACGCAGTAGGATTTTTAATGACCAAAGAGAGTCAGGACCTCGGTTTTATGTCTCATCTGAAGGACTGCGCCTTTTTACAGTATAGTGTCCACGCCACTATACTGAGGCATTAGGACCCACATGGAACACAGGGTGAGCGCCCCCTGCCGGCCCCATAAACACGTCTTCCAGCAGCAACCTTAGTTTTTCCCAGGAGGTCTCCCATCCAACCTGGCTCACACTGCTGAGCTTCAGTGGGCTGCCAGTTCTGAGTTGCATGGTGATATGCTGCTGGTTTCAAATATCCTTCATATTAGTATCACAATAATTTATCTGAATTTTATTACATACAAGTATTTAAATTCATTCTCACATCAAAATACTGTAAGAACAGTAACAGCACACCTAAAATTCCTTTGCCGTTACATATTATTTTTGGCTAACAAATATGTAGTTATGGCTTAAAACTACATACTGTTCTTAACCTGAGCCTTAACCAACATATTCTGGGGTCAGCAGCAGACCAGAGCTAGAGGCAGACTTCTAAACAGGGCTGACTAATGAGAAAGGGTCACAAGGGTCCTGCTTGTTAGAACTGCAAAATGTAAAAAAAAAAAAACATTTTCAAAATAACTTCTTTTTGGCCATTCAAAGAAAATGATAAGATGAAGGACAACTTTTTCCATGCATAAAACAACAAGTACAGGTTGCCTGCTGTAGGCAAGAGCACAAAGGCACTTCTCCAGAAGTCCCTGTTGCTTTGGTTACTTTTTGGCAGCAGAGTAGGGTACAGGAGATCACAAAGGACTGATTCACCTCATCCATAGTAACAGGGTTCTTGGGGCAGCAAGCAGGATACTTGGTTTGTGCTTAGTTATCAGATGAGATAACATCACTTTATTGGCCTTATACAATTTCCTGTATTAGGAATTTGTCTTTTCACATACCCGAACTTGCTCTCCATGAGACACACAGACAGGGAGAGAGAAGCTGGGGGTCAGAGCACAGGGTCAGCCATTTATATGGCACCCCTGGAGCAGTTGGGGTTCAGGGCCTTGCTCAGGGGCCCAGTGGAGTAGGATTCCTCTGGCGGCCGCGGGATACTAACCAGCAACCTTACCCACAGAGGCAGTAGTTATCGCTGTCACTCATGGCTTAGTGCAATGGAGATGAAAACTGTCTGTTTAAAGAGCATGGTGAAACTCCACTCTCTGAGAGCCCTGACATGCAGTAGGAAGATACACTGGGGTTCTGCCATTAGCAGTTGTCAAGCAGAATCAGAACTATAAGCTAAATTTGAACCAAATGCGTACTTAAACAGAAGAAAGTTTCACGCTGTTTGTTTCTGATAGTAGCTGCAGTTAGATAACAACACTACAGCAGCGTATGTATAGTAAAGCACTAACCTTGAAATGAAAACAATATTATAACACTTTAGGAAGTTGGTTTTAGATCCTGTTGACTGTTGTGTGAATTAACACTGGGCTTCTGTCGCTAATGCCAGACAGTGCCCCCAGTATTGCAGACACTTTCATTATCGCTTCCAACTTTAAGAGACCGAAAAGAAGGTTCATGACCCCTGACTGAAGAACATTGTGCTGCACAAAATGGAGATTGTGTGATAGATACATGTGGCAATTGCAATTTCACAAGTTCTCTCAAAATCTAATTACACTGAAACGATCCAATGAATATGAAGAAAAAGTGTCCTTAATACTTCAGTGTTCAACACTAACTCGCCTCACTAAGGAAATGGAAATTATATCTATGGCCCAGGGTTGGAGATGTCATAATTCCCCTCACAAGGAATAAGCAAGGAAGGCCGCAGCTGAAGTGAGGGTGCAGCTGGATTGGAGGAAGGGGAGCTAGATCAGAACCACGCAGAGCTGTGGGAAAGATTTCTGAGTAGGAGAGTGGAACTGCGAGATTACAATGTCGATCCTGTTGAACGTCTGTGTACTGTGTAATAACACCAAAAACATTTTTAAAGCACACGTGGAGTACCCTTTGTTTAAACCAAAACTCGCAAATTCATCTATAAGCAAGGCTGCACACATCGCACAGGTAGTCTAATTTTCCTTCATGAAGAGTGAACTTCACCCACTTGTACAAGCGAATAGGACTTGTGCAGCTGCATTTTCACTGCAGAAATGGTCCAGTGTGTTCTGCATGAAGAGTTAACAAGTATGTTGCATTTGCTGGTAAAATCGTCAAGAACAATATTTTTTATTGGATGAATTCACAAGCCTGCTTGTTTACAATGTAATAGGGCCTTTTCACGTCACCAGAAGTTTTGTTGTCTAGTTCGGAATCACAGAATATAGCACTGAGCACACCTGGAAATTTTATTTTGTGATATAAATTGGAGGTTTAACAAGTTACTGTGTACATTTTACTTTTATTGTGGTTTGAAATGCTCTCATCTATACCGATTCTTTCTAACCACTAATAGAGCTGCAGTTCTGCTTTCAAGAATGTCTTACACTGACTGGCAGAAAGCAACATTTTTAGTCTTGAACAGAGAAAACTATGAGAGCTTGAAAACAAGTATTCAAAATCCTCAAGGCGTTTAAGAAAAAAATCCAAAAGATTTCTTCAGAATAAACAGTGAAAACCAAGGACATAAGGGGTACCTACACAAATGCACATTTAAAACCAAGCTACCAAACCTATTTCGTTATCGTCTTGGATCAATAAGATACTAAAACAACTCAGATGGGTTGAACAAAGAGCTGAACAAAGCTTTTGACTTACATGCTGGTGTGCTTTCAGTTCTTTCACTGCTGATTGGATGACTTTAATATTTGGATACTTTTCTTCCAAAACACTTGAAGATTGCTCTTCAACATCAAAATCTTCCAGTGTCTTAGAAACCTTAAAATAGAAACCATCACATTATAACAATTGGTAAATATCTTGTCAACATACTTCTGAATAAGCAGTAGGTAAACAGTGAGATTACTCTTATTTTAAACCTTCAACCTTCCTAACAAAACGTGTTAAAACTGCACAAAGATTTATAGATCTCAACAGTTTATAAGGCCTGTATGTCTGCAATTCCCTGAGCTGTAATCTATTATTAGAAGAATCTTTATCCAAAGTCATGCATTATATATATTTACAGTATATAGGTTTCACAAGAGAGAAGTTCAATTTTAAGAATTAAGATATGTGAAGAAGTGTTCAATTACTTCAAAATTTAAAATAGACCAGGTTAACCCTCCCCACAGCTGTAAAGCTGCACATCTTAAACTAATTGCTTAAAAGACACTATCAGCTCTATGGTAGAATTGGAAAAGTTTAGTTCAGACTCCTGTGTATTTAAAAACATATATATCTAAGTGTACACTGACATTCTCTTCCAAATAGACACTGAATTAAATATTAGTATTTTTTACTGAATTGCTGATAGATAATTGGAATGGTTTGCAAACAGAAAATTATGTTTTACCTGTTTAAAATTTGTCACAGCCTTAATCAAGTGTGCAGCAGTCAAGAGTAAAATCCTTTCTGATGGAAACTGTGAAGCAAGCTGAAAGACAATGCACAATTCACTTATGGAACTTTCATTGGAATTAAATCTGACCTTTTAACAAAATGTTTGTGTCAGCACCATTACACCTGTTTTAACTCCAGGAGTTTTGTATGACGCCCGTACAGTTGGGTTAAAATAATTTTTAAAAAGAACTGTAATACTGTCCATAATAATCCAGTGAAAAACAGCAACAGTTTGAAGGCCGTGACCATTTTCTAGTCAACGCTGGGCATCAGGTAGCACCTATAACTTGGATGTTGACGTGAAAAGTTAAACTTCAGCACAACCAAATGGGACTTATATAATAAAAACGCACTGTGATTGTGTACTAGTGGTGCTAGGGTGGTAATCTAATTCATTTCACTTATTAACGGCGTAATAGCTGTACATATAAAATAAAATAAAAAACCGTAGGTAAATAGTATACATCACAGAAGGTCAAGCAGAAATTTTAACGCTACAAACACTGCCTACAATTAACCTCACAAGAAACTCAGACTGTCTGTTTTCCATGGATATTTTCCTGGGATAAAATAAAAGATATACGTAACACAAGATGAAAAGCGAATTCCGCTATTATTCTGCGGGTTGTTAGTGAGGTGTGCGGATAAGGACCAGGCGGCAGAGAGATCTCACCTGTTCGGCACATGTAACTCCTGCAATACCGCCGCCAACAACTAAAAACTTGCTCTTTTTTTCCGTCGTAGTCATCGCTAGTTTCGGTCTGTTTACACTTTATTACAACTCTCTTCCTTACAGCGGATGGGCAAATTAACCAACGGTTTCAGCCGTTGCGCAGGAAAAAATTCGCTGTGTCTATCGATGTCATTGTTTACCTTTCATTCAGAGACACAGAAACTGCACAATATGTGCACTGGTGAATTTACAATATTTTTCCTAAAACTTCCCGGTGTAGCACCCGCAAGTTATCAATGCCCGAAACCTCCTACAAAACTACGGTATCCTAAGAAGCCCACACTTCTCAACTTATCAACAAAGGACAAAAAGCGAACACGCTATTACTACAAGTTAATTACATACCTGTACATTATTGCACTAACACCTTTGGCCTTAAGGAAATATTTCCTGATATTGCAAAAATTGTAAATTTATTGTTAAAGAAAATTAGTTTACTTCTTCTAAATTACTTTTCGAAAAGGAGGCAAAATCTATGTTTTGCTACGTGAAAACAAATAATTTTGGACTTATCTACAACTATGACTAATTTTATAGAATCCAGATGTCGAATATTAACACAAGGAGGTTCACTATGACGTACAAATAGTACTTTCTAAGTCAATTGGGCTTATGTTAAAGAGCTAGATATTTGTATTGCGATCTTACTTGTTTTTCCAAAAATAACATTAAAGAGGAGATTTTTTTTCATATTTAGAAAACAAGTTAAACGGAGAAAGAACATTTGTCTTGTGCATCGTCTAAAAATGAACAGTCACAACAGTTCTGTGCAGAGTAGTTTTTAATCCTTTATTATTGATCCCAACGCGTGAAACACAGCAAATATACAGTGTTAATTAATAACGAAGCAAAAGAACACCGAGACCTTTTCCTGTCAATATACAGTTACCGCTTGTTCTCATTTGATTTTGGGTGCAATCATTTAAATTGGCTGCTACTTGTTATTATATCGATTCCAGTTTATTCAGCATTTTTTTAGCTTTTTATTTCTGCGTGCGTGTGTACTGGTTGCACCCCCGATACAGGTAGCAGTGACACACAGTCTATATTGTATTATTCTAATAAATTAGATTAGATAATTGATATAATCAACTAATTCGCCAATAAAATTCGAAACATACTCTCACACAGAAAAACAAATGTAATCATTCTAAAAATTGGGTATAAATGATTGCTATGCACCGACACCAAATACTGTGGACCTCTGGATTTTCTACTTATACTGGGTACAGTATGTGCTTACTGTACGTCGATAGTCTCGTAAATTTTATTAATTTTAAAGAATTGTAAAATTTGGGATCTTTATCTGAATTAAAAGTATGAGAATGAGGGAATCTAATTTTTGTCCTCAAAGACATTCTATTACCTGTAAAACTTTCAAAGGTGAATAATTAAAACATATGTATTTTCTTTTTTTTAATTAATTATACATTAGTCAGATTATGTTTATGCATTTTTAAATTAGCTGTTATTTTTCAGCTACAAGTTTCCTAACTTGTCAAACAGCAACGAAAGCAAACAACTCTTTTTTATTCATTTAAAAAATACTGGAAATACAGTATATTTCACGGGAGCTGTTACCACAACACAGAGAGCACACCATTCATAAGATCTCCCAACAACGCGAGCCTTAGTCACAGAAAATAAATAGAAAACGGAAGCATCTACAGTACGTAGAAATAATAAACTAATAACAATGAAACAATATAAATAATATCAGAGAGCTCAAAAAGCAGGACGCCACATTTTTCATCTTTGGCCCAGTGCTGTCCACCATGCCACGATTACAAAACTACATTACCGCTTTCATGTCATTTTCAATTTGACGTAATGGTGGAAAACAGTATTTTTGTTCCTCACCTTTCCAAGTCATTTTTGTTCAATTTGTTGATAGATGTTATTATTTTTTTATTTAAATAACACAGCACTACATTGAAATAAGGGTGTGTGTGAAAAGGGAAGGCAAAGTGACAACAATGTTGTTGTTTTTTAAAGAATTGTTTAAAAATGACAAACAACAAGGGCACAGTGGCTAGCATTGCTGTGTCACAGTGCTGGCACCCTGTGTTCAATTCTGGACCTGGGGTGCTATCTGTGTGGAGTTTGTATGTTCTCCCCATGTTCATGTGGGCTTCCTCTGGGTGCTGGTTTCTTCCCACAGTCCAAATCATACTGGTAGGTTAAGTGGCTTCTGGGAAAATCACCTCAGAGGTGTGAGTGTGTGTCTCTGTGTGTCCCCTGTGATGGGCTGCTGTATTGTCTAAGTTGTACCCTGCCTTTCACCCATTGTTTGCCAGGACAGGCTTCAGCTCCCCTGTGACCCTGAATTGGAAGAGATGAAGAGAGGGTTAGAAAATGGATGGATGGATAAAAGCAAGAAAACAAGCTTTATCCAGTGAACCACTGCTTACAGCATTTCATTGTCTTTGCAAATCATAGTGTATGTGATGAAATTATTTCAGGAAAAATGTGATTAATAAAACAAGTGTTATTGAATAACATTACCTTCAGTCGTTGCAAACCATCAACTTACAAAGGTAATGGTAATGCTATTAATCATATACAACATGTTGGTGGAGTGTTCTGTTGTGTGTAAAAAAAAGCCTGTCTTAAGTATGTTCTAGAGCTGCTCCTCTGTTAAATAATTGGATCTGTAGATATCTCTCATGACCAAGACTTCGCTCAAAACGTACAGATGTGATTTGTACTTATTTTTGCCTATAAAGACATACAGTGATTTCGAAGTCATTGTGTATCTCATGATAATAATGGCTGCATAGATGCAATGCAACATTAGGCTATTTTCAGAGACCTGAACTGCGTCTCAGGATGTTGTAAATAAATGATGAATGCATGGTCATTTTTGAGGAAAAAATAATAAACAGAGATAGAATATAAACAAATATGCAGGAGTAAATTGGTTGAAATAGCCAAAGACAGAAGTTTGTGGAAGAATTTTGGGGAGGCCTTAATTCAGTAGCAGATGGATAAAGGCTAAAGACAATGGTATCTGAAGCTTGGTTTTTATCTGAGATTTTTTTCTTTCTGTTAGTTATTGCTCAGTGTTTAGTTCCATTGAGGTCCTTGGTGAACTTAATGTTTACATTTTCTTCTCATATCTTTTTAAGGTGTTAATTGTTGCCGTGACATTAATCTGTAATACAAGAATTTAACATATTCCTGCTGTAGAAAGTGAAAATATACAAATATTTTAAAAAAGGAAAAAGCAAGATGGGATGAGTGTCTATTTTGTCATCTTTTTTAAAGATGACAAACTACCTGTTTTTGGCTTTCCGGTGAAAGAGCTTAGAAATACAACTTTCAGCCATCCATATAAAGGGCTCAGTTTTTGAAAAGCTAGAAAATGCTTTGCACAGCTTCATAGAAAAATACAAGAATCTCCTTTTATGCCTGGAACCTCTGTCTAATATTGAAAAAAACTAATCGGAATAGTGCTTATAAAGTTGTGTCATAACTTTAGATTAAAGAGAAATGATCTGACACATAACTATGTCACAGATAACAAAGCAATTCTTTCCATTTCCAGATTAATTATACTATTGTATCACAAGTTAATAGTTTTTCAATGAGTCATATGTGATTTCTACTGTAACCTTTTCAAAGCAATGCTAATGAAATAAGTGTGCAATACTTTTTAGAGATAATGTGAAGACTGGGTTTACTTTTCAGAGATAATGTGAAGACTGGGCTAAGGTCATTTCTTGCAAAACAATTAAGTGCAAAACAGATCAAATATGTTATCTTGTTGAATCACAGCTAAAGCTATGGGGACCCAGAAGTGCAAAACACAAAAACAACCAAGAGTGAACATCCAAAAATGATACAACACAAACAAAAATGAGAACACACAAAAAAGACTCCATAAAAAAAAACCTACACAACTCAAAAAACAAGTGCACAAACAAAGAAAAACAGAGAAAAATGTATTCAAAATGGCAATAAGTTCTCATAACGGACAAGATGCGGTAATGTGAGAGGGCATCACTGAGTGGAGTGCATGTGTTGAGTTCTTTATGAAACGTTTTCTAAAACCTTAAAAACCACCAGGGCAGTAAAATTTGACAGTAAGTGTCATTTGTTTTGTGCACTCATTTACATTTTTTTGTGTGTTTTGTGCACTTCTGGGTCACAGTTACATTGATAAAAGATCATCTTTTGAAAAACAGAGAGTTTTGGAAAGTCTCCACTTAAGTATTTTAAGGTCATAGATCCTAAAGCCAAACATGAATCAGAAATAAAAGATGATCTGAAAGGTTCTAAAGGGTCTAAATGTTGTTGAACTTTGAACATTTTGATTTCTACATTTGCAAATGAAACTACAGAAACAAAGTGCCGAACAACTGCTGTGACTTTATTTGTCCTTATTTTCATTGTAAATAATCTACTAGATAATCATTAGAAATAATGGGATTACTTTACCTAAAAGGTTAAAGTGCGTCGGTCTCTTTGTGCTTTAGTTTGTGTTTCATTCTTGATTTAGGTTTCAGCACAGCACTGATATCATTCTACCAAAAAATGTTGTATGAAAAATTTGCATGATGGACCAGCTTGACACTTCCTGATGACCTTGTGTGAATTTCAATTTGGCACCTTGTTGGCTGCCCATTAGGTGAGATGCTCATGCTGCTGTGCCCAAGCAACCTTATCTAGCACAGGGCCATCTGCGTAAATTGGTACACCCATAATTCAACCACTCAGGCTGTGTTTATTTTTTATTTTCAGAGCTGCATTCTATTTATTCTCGTTTTATGGCTTGCGCTGAAAGTGCTCTCCTACAGGGCGTCATTTAGGCTGTTCAGTATCATCTCTATTTCCAACAGTGTTGCTCAACTGGCCATAGGCAAGAAAATGACACATGCCCTGTTAGGGCAAATATCAACATTTCTGACAGCTGTGAGAGGTGCTAAAAATGAAGACAGCAATTTATTTCAAATTTCAAATTTCATTTGAAATCTAAGAACATAAGAAGCATTATAAATGAGGGAACAAATCAGCTCATCTAGCTCAGTTGGTACTTGGTAAGTTATTGTTCCAAGGATCTCATACAGCTGATACTTGAAAGAAGCCAGGTATCAGCTTCAACAAGATGCCTGGGTAGTTCATTACATGTTCTTCTCAGGCTTTACTTTAGGTGAAGAAATGCCTCCTGTTCTCAGTTTTAAATGTACTCCCCAGAGGTTTCTACTCATGGTTTTTCTTTTGTGTTTCACAATGTCTGATCAAATCCACTGTGCTGGCTTTGACAGTACCTTAAAAGATTTTGAATACTTGTATCAGGTCCACTCATTGTCTTTTCTGTTTAAGGCTATAAAGCCCACCTTCGAGCTTTTTTTTATGCATCTCAGGTCCTAGAGCACTGTACTGGAAGATCAGTGTACCAGGGTTCACCCCTCTCTAAAACCTAGACAGTGTGAAAGTGCTGCGGCAGAGGACCCAGCCAAATCCCCCCTCCTGGTTCGAGACTGTGTGGTTGAGGGCCTGCCAGTGACCGTGATTGAATGAAATCAAGCCGAGGACAGAGTGGAGCTGCCCACTTTACTGCTGTCGTGTACGTGCTCCAGTCCCGGAGAACTGGCGGAGGTATGTTGGTGTGGGGGAGTTCTCAGGCAGATCCTGTGAGCGACTGGGATCAAATCACAGACGGGGAAGGGAAAAGGCTGTCTCTGGCTGAGCCAATTGTGAGGACATTACAAACATTTTATCTGTTCTATCTTTATATTCTGCAAAGTATGTGCCGTGAGGAGTCACAATATGAGGATTTCAAAGCCCAGGTGTTCATTTTGACCAAATTGCTTTTAGTTGACTATATTGTAAGTAGCTTTCCCAGCCTGTTCATAAGGAAAATATAGACTTCAGAATGTGAAGTCTAAATCCCTTTCTTCAAACTCAAAAATGTATTATTTTCGCTTGAAAGAGAAAATATTGACATAAGATAGACAGTCTTTTAATAATCTTTCAGCACAGAAATTGAGAAATGTAAGTAACATTTGCCAGCACTAGTCTTCATATTTTTTTTAATTAATAATGAAAGCTAGAAACTGCAAGCAGTTTTGAAAGCTCCCAAGCAGGTCCTTACTCTAATAGTGTAAAAGTGCAAGTGAGCAGCAAATAAACAGGAAATTAAAATGATAACTAACAACGGGAGTTTTGTGGAGTTTACTGGTGTTGTTGAACATAGGTTCAAGAGGAGGTCACAATTCTGCTCCCCTGCATACATTATAAATGCTCCCTAGCTGCACACAACTCTGCACACATCTTTTCTATCTCCCCTGGCTCTTACCTTTTAAGTGATACTCAAACAGCTCTGACATTTCCTCAACCATGCACATTAATGTATCCCCTTTATAGTCATTGACTCATTTCATCCTTATCGATTTTGACCAAACTTCTGAATTAGCAGTTTATTGCACATACTGTATCTGGGTGTGATGAAACTGAGCAAGTTTCAAATCAGTTGTTGAAATGTATGTCCCAAAGGAATGGCACTTTGTTTTTTCTGAAAAAAATGGTGATGAGGCACCATTGTGATTTTCTGGAGGAAGCCTGTTTTTCTATGTGTTCACTCTAGTGAGAATACAGTTATATTACACAGGTTTGGACTTAAATAAACAAATAATTGTCACAAAGATAAGATCACTTTATTGGCCATATACAATTTCTTGAATTAGGAATTTGTCTTTTCTCATACCCCAACTTGCTCTTCATGAGACCCACAGACAGAGAAAGAAGCTTGGGGTCAGAGAGCAGGGTCAGCCATTTATACAGTGCCCCTGGAGCAGCTGGAGTTAAAGGCCTTGCTCTGGGGCCCAACAGACTAGGATTCCTCTGCCGGCCACAGGATACAAACCAGCAACCTTCCAGCCTTAGGTGCAGATCCTTAGCCACAGAGCCACCACACTTCTTTTGTAAAAGACTGACAAGTTGCAGATTTGTGGGTGTAACTATACAGTACCCACACTATGCGAGATACTTGAAGACATCTACTCCACCTTGCAATTTTAGGGCTGTTAGGTTTCTGCAGGCCATAATAGTTCTCCCTGTACTATATACAGCAGTTGCCCTTTTTAGTTACAATCCTTTACTATCTAACCATACAAAGAACACGAAAATAGTATCAAAGAACACAAAAATAGTATCAAAGAATATAGAAATAGTATCCCCAAGAGGAATATAGCAAACAGTAACTTCATAGTCCCCAGGAACACAAAGCCACAGAGTGGAAAAAAACAGCATCACCCTCCTCTCACGAATGAGCTCCATCTACTGCCCTGGGGTTCCTCTTTCCCCCACACGGAAGAAAGAGGTCCGGCCAGTGCCAGACAATGTGGTCTATCTCCCCACCATGTTTCTCTGCACGAATCTCAGGGTAGCGGGGGAAAGACAATGGATGATCCTCTGCCTCTGGAGTCCTCCTCTGGTCTCCAAGCCCTCTCTTGTGTCCAGTGGTGCTATCTGTGTCCCAGATCCCTGTTTTCTCCCTGAACAGCTTAAATACACACTTCCTGGCTAGAGCTCCAGGACTGAGATAAGGGCAGGTGTGTCCTGGTGATCATGGAGATGCGTAGGCTACTACGCATACTCCGCTTCTGTATGTAGCGGAGCTAGTTTGGGCGCAGTGATGTCATCGCCCTCCCTGGGTGTAGCAGGGAGCTCAGCCGTCTGGGCTGAGGGAGGTCTCCTTTAGCTCATGTGGCTGGTTCCCTGATGCATTACACCAGAGACCCGGGTTTGTGCCCAAGTGTTGCGGGACGAACCAGCGGGGTGGAGTGGCGAGGGCACGAGAACGTGTTCCTGATTTAAACAAAACTGATTATCAAAATGTAACTAATGTGATATGAGTGAAATCAAAAACTGTGACACTAGAAATAAAGGATCTAGGTTATTAAGGCTAGTACAGCACATCTTCAGATTATGTTTCTGAATCAGTATGTATTTTTAGGAAAGTGTCAGTGTCAACACAAACACACACTATTACCATGCACACTCGGTGGAGCATAATATTAATAAAAGATGCATTTGCCATAAAACAAAACCAGAAGGCAGTGACAAAGGCATCTTTGAAGTGCTCCTTCTTAAATTGACAGAGAAAGATGAGGTGTATCTATTAGAAAGATTATATCATATCTATATTTTGGAGGTGGAATGTGATTTTTTGCCTTCATGCTAAAGACAGTAGATTGGTAAGCTAAATGTGCACAGACAGGGTCAAAGATAACTCTTTGTGGATGATTCACAATATTGCTGGAGATAATTTCAGCTAATGACAGCTGTTGTTTTGCATTAATGTTCAGAAGGGGTGCATAATGGATGGCCTCCTGCATGAAGCTGCGACCAGATTCTCTCCATTGTCAAAGGGCACAGAGAGACTGCTGCTGCTAATTGGCTTTGGCCCAGAATGAAGAGCCACATCAGTAACCAGATAGAAGCTAGCTTCACAATACACTCCAATGAGTGGAAGACACTCAATGATTCCCTTGTGGATGTTGGCAGAGCAGGGAAGGAAAAGCTGGATAGCAGGATTGCAGGCTAACTGGAGTTTGTTGCCCTTAAGCAGGGTTTAAGGAGGGTTTCAGAGAAAGTAGGAGTGATTAGAATATTTGTTAACACTCTATATGGTAGATAAGGACCTAAGATAACTTCCTCCATTCTTTATATACTGTAAGTGGAAAAGGTTAATTTAATTTTTCAGCTCATCTAATGTGGCACTCTCTGAATGTTACAATACTATGGAATAACGAACTTTATTCCTCTTATTCAGACTTACTGCTTTCTCTATTATATGTGTTACTTTTAAAAGAAATATATACATATTTCAGTTTCACTGGTCAAATGAGCTAATGTATGCTGTGAAGATGATCTACAATAAGGGCTGATCACTTCTCTGGGGCTGTTCATTTTTAACTTTATAGATGCAAAAATCATACTTGGAAGTCTATTCCAATGGTTCTGCTTTTCTGCCATTCTGAGATCACCAGAGCTCATTAATATTCATTATCAGTACCTGTTTGATATATAGAAAACATATATTGGACTAATCTAGACTTATGTTTGATATCTTGAGCACATTCCTTGAGCTTTCCAGACCTAGTCATGCAGAATGTGTCCATAACAGGGAGCAAAGGCACAGCCTTTCTAAAGAAGATGAGAGTCTTGCTCAATCACCATAAAATATTAATAAGAAGGTTTGCACATAAAGTACACATTTTATAGTACTAGTAGTAGGTCAGTTTTTTTTTAGAAATTAAATCAGCTTAGTAATTTTCTAAAACTGTGCTAAAAATATTTGTTAGGACAATCACTACCCAGATCTCCCCTATTTCAATGTTTCATATGTCATCTTTAACAAATGTATCAAACAGTACTGAAATTGGTAAATGCTTTCACACAATCCTTAGGTTTAAACATTTAGTATTTCATAAAAATGGAGTAAGACGGGCATTTATATACTGTATGTGTGTGAGTGTTTGTGGATGCTTTTTATAGTGCATCTTGAAAGGCATGAGAAAGCAATACTCACCAAAGTCAAGTTTATAAATGAGGTGCAATGGAATACACTCATGTCTCATTACCATGCAGATCACACGAAAAAAAGGTACTGGACGTTTACAGTTAGAAAACGACTATTATTTATTTTTTTCATCTGTCCTGTTTTTTTACAGCAGAGTACAATTTCAGTTTCTTTCCCCGTTACGGGGGTGTTTTCCTCTAAAGCTGTAAGTATTTCAGGGGCTCCTGACTGTCCCTCTTGCCGTACGTGTTGGAGCCCACATTGGTAGGAGAATACACCGTGCCTACAGTATTGCTGGACCGGATAAGGAAGTCCGCCAGGCGCTGAGTCACGCAGGTGGCAGTATTGCACTTCCTCTTTTCCATCCGATGGCTACATAAACAAAAGCAGACAATTAGAAATGAGAACAATTAGAAACTGGAGAATTACAAAGAATGTCAGGAAGTCTAATAAGTTCATCTGTGGTCCTTTTGTGGTAAAATTAAAAAAGACCAGTTACAATTAATAAGTGGTTCAGCTGTCTTGATGGGGTGTTCAGTTAAGAATTGAGATGACTGCCTCATCAGGCACTTTCCAGAAGTGTCTCGATAACAGTGACTCCACAGAGAGGCACAGCACTTGTTCCATGAAGTCACCACTCTTAGCTACAGAAGAGCCTTCTATTCCTGGTCCGGCATCTACTGTTTCTCCCTGAAGATAGATTTAGAGGTTAGGATAACTTGAGACTTGTCAGTCACTTTTTTGTCCTCGAAGACCTTCTTAATCTAGATCTTAATCTAGGAAGCCTCCATTTTGTCCTTTTTAATTGAATTTTTTTGCATATGCATTATATTTACTGTTATATCAAACATTCCATAAAACACTGACATTACAACAGATGTCTGAAATCTGTTTCTGCTGGGTAGTTTTATCTTTGTGTTTTTATTATCCTTTTTTTATGATTACAAGACGGCTTTCACTGTCAATATGTCTATAGAATAATATATGAAATATATTATATATAAAATGCATAATACTGTACATGGTATAGTACCTGATGCTGATAGTAAATTAATATAAATTCGTAAATTGAAGACTAATAAGATGATACAATTAGTAAATTGTACTGAATTATTTTTATTTTTTCAGTTTAATTCATACATATCCATGTAGACATATACAGTATCATACTTCTTGAGTATTTAAGTAGAATACATGTAAAAGACGGTTGCTTTTAGTAATATAAGACTTCAAAATACAGCATCAGGGCTCTTCAGATTATGTTTCTGAATCAGTATGTATTTTTAGGAAAGTGTAAGTGTCAACACATATTACCATACACACTCCGTTGAGCATAATATAAATAAAATATGCATTTGCCATATCCCTTTGAAGATTTTGTATTTTATTTCACATTGAAAAGGAAGTAACAAACTGCTGTACTGTATTTCTCTCAACAACCATGTAAAGCAAAGGCTGTGTTTTACAAATCAGACATCATGTCCACCCACTACAGTACACTTGCTAATCCACGCAACTCAGTTCAGAGTCAATTTAAAAAACAGCCTCTCTGGTTTGAAAGAACTCAAAACCTTAAAACCCATTTTTATAGCCCCATATGGCTAAATAACCGCACTGCAGTGGCATTTTAAAATGTTCAAGGCAAAAAAAAATATATTTTCACCTGAGCAGGCTCAAACCATCACACAGATAATAATCAGTACCCTAATATATTCTGCAGCCTCTTTTAATAATTATTTTCTGAGCACGAGTGCAAAAATGCAATAAAGAACTTAAACTAAAGTGAATTTGTAACTTTATATCTGTGACTCTACACAGGACTAAAGTTGTGCTTGCAGGTATTGCATTTATAAGCTGTTAAATAGCAATGGAAGTCGTGGTACCTGATGCGTTTGGGAGGGTCCCCTTCTGGCAATACTCCAGTGAAGCTGAGAAAAGAGTTCTTTGAAAAGCCAGGCAACAGCCATCTCTCTCTCTCTGGCCACGCATCTGACTGCTCAGTGTACACAGGAGAGTACCTGCAGCACAGTCACAGCAAGGGAGTCAGCTCCTCCGCTCGGGACACCACAGACAACAGCTTTCAGAGAGCGCGGCCAGGATCACTGAATTCGGCAAGTGGCTGACTAATGAGTTTGCACTTTGAACAGGCACTCATGAATGTAACTCTCACTTGCAAAGTGGAAAGTCACTTGACAGACAAATGAAACATCTTCAATGAATTGAACTTGATACTGTCAGTTATTAATCAGCCCTTTTTTCATTTTTGAATTAAAGCTCACTTATCCGTGAAGGATGACCTGATGTTACCTTAGGCGATGCCGTACTATAAAAAGCCACATCCCTCTCTCATCGAGATCTACATTTCGTGTGGCCGAATAAATGAAAGCAGTCCATTATGTGCGTGTAGGAGCTTCCCCTTTTCAAATTCCTTCGAGTTCAAAAAAGTGCTTGGCTTTTCATAGCACTGCAAACTAAAATATCAGACATTTTTCTTCGATTGTACAAAGAATGTATTACAGATGTACTGGCATGTCCTCTTCTCTGGCTGTGCAAGCAAACAGCAAGCTAATATTACAGTACTGACCTGTTACTGGGTGCAGCGCTGACCCATTGTATGACCACAGATAGCACCAATACAAAGGCAGGCAGCTTCAGATTGCACATTGTGTGCTCGGCCTGATAAATGACTGAAATCAGAAAAAAGGGTTAACGTGACTTCAGTTTGCTGTAAACATTTTAATACATTTTCTGTGTCAAAATAAGAAGATTCTTCATCAGTATTAAAGGCATGGAGAAGGAGATACAAGTATGATTACTATTCCAAAATAAAATTATTATAATGGTATAATATTGTATTATTAAAACTCAAACGATATATATGAGAAATTGTTACTTTTCATTACTTACTAGCGATTTTGGGAGTTAATCCCTTTACCTGGTTCACAAGAAGTAAAGAAACAAGTAATGCAGTTTGATATTTCGGTTTTAATCTCTTTTTGAATCTGTTCAGCAACAATTAGCTCCTATTTCCTGTTTACAGCTTGATGTTTGCAGAAGAATGATCAATCGTTTAAACACATCCTGTGAAGGTTTTGATAGAATGTGCTAGTTATTGCAAATGAAGATGTGCAAAATAAGCCTTTTCCCCCAGGAAAGAGAAGACGGTAAAGAACCTTAGAATAGGAAAGAGGACATAGAAAGAAATTCACTTACTTTTAGTAGCTGGGAATTGCAATTAATTAAGATCAGATCCAGCTGGAGGTTCCAATGGATCCTGGTGTTATTACAGGATGTTTCTCTCAGTGTCTCACAGCTTGGATTAAGCTCCTGTTTTTTATATGCTACACACCTTAACCACTTGTGACATCACTTCTTCCAAATATAGCTTGCAATTTCCATTTATACAGAAAGGTGCTTTTATCAAGAATTCAGAGATGCAGGATGGGTCAGTGCTCTGTAGCAGAAACGTCATCATCATCATCATCATCATCATTGTCCTTGGCTCTATCACTTGTTAGGTGATCTAGTGCAAACCCACTTGAAGCTGTAATGGAGACCTGGTGAGCTACTGTTAAAAATGGTTAAACTCTTTAAACAATGTCAAATCTTTCTCCATGGAGTGAAAACAAAAAAACTGAGTAGGAAAAAAAAGTAGGAAAAAAGAAAAAGCTCATAAAGACCTTTTCAAAGATGATACAATAAATATTTTTTTTTACTCTTTTTGGCTCACTTCCATGCCTTTTTGTAACTTGACAATAGGATGTCAGAATGAAAATCTGTTCTGACTAATGCAGGGGGTAAGATACAACTTCAGGTCCCTTTTAATTAAGGCAGGCAATCAAGATACGGAGATGACATGATGTAACTCCAGAAATTCAAACGTAATAAATAGTATATTTTAACTAAAATTTGGGATTTAAGTACAAAGAAGGGAGTATACAGGTGATTTGAGAGAAGCTTGTGACTTCAACACATTTTGAACCAGGGTCATGCATTTTGTCTGTTTGTGTTCAACAGTTGTCAGTTTTCAAAGCCTTACTTAAAACCTTTCACAATAAGGTGCACTTTACTTTCAGTTTGATTTTTCCATTGTGGGATTTAGAGAAAAAAAGCATTTTATACACTGCAGTGTTGGAAAACCTGTTATCTTTATCACATACAATTATTTAATGAAACCTTTGTATTTTAACTATTTAAAATTTCATTAAGTCATTACTACACTTAATCCTATGCCATAAATAGTTATATACACATTCACATTTCCTCTTCACTTTATTTTTTTGGGAAATTCTGTAACACTATTTTGTGCCAAAAAATATACCATATGACAAATCAATTAAAAAGTGTTACTGAATCCAATCATGGTTAATGACTGAAATATTTACAAAGGTGAAATATTTATTTGGTCAGAATTAGTTTTCAAAACAAGGAAATAAGAATGTAATATTACTGAAGGCATACTGTAGATGATGGGTTAATTCCAAGGTGGAATCTAATTTGTCTATTATCATTGCATATCATAAACCAGCACTCAAATAGAGGGGTCATTTGTCCTGTCTAGTTTTTTTGTTGAGCTATTTAATTTCTGTGTTGCTTACAATGCTGGTGTTGAATTACAGCTTTCTACAAAAGCCAATGAGTCAGCCCAATCCAAATAAGCTACAATGCTTATAGAAATTCTACACACTCTTTCCAAAGTAAGATACTGTATTTTGAGGCATAACAGCCTGAAATCAGAATTGTATTGTACCTTTATTTACACACTGTAATACATAACTTTCAAGCGAAAAACAAGTGCTCAAGCATTCCGAAAAGTAATTACAAATAAAATCATAGACAAATGGGTTAGATACAGTATATATGTGCAGAGCTCTGGGGTAGTATTTGATGGGAGCACCATTTTCTTGAAATACCTCCATAATTTTGTTTGGATAGGTATGTGCAGTATTGTACCAATGTGGCACACCTGCATCTGACAATGTTTCCCCATTCCTCAGTTAAGAACTGATCAAGTTCAGTCATATTGTGAGGGACCATTAATGGATTGCAAAGTTTACACAATTTCACAGGTTTTCAATAGAACTGATGTCAGGGCTCTGACTGGGCAACATGAGGGCGTTTTTACCTTTCTAGTGCTTTAGCACCTCCACTGTTCCTTTGGCTGTCTGGGTGCATTGTCATGTTGAAAGGTAAACGTCCTTCCAACTTTCAGCTTCCCTTCAGAGGATTTTCGCAGATTTTCTTCAAGAATCCATCTGTATTTTGCTCCTTCCAGTTTCCCTTCAATCCTGACCAGTGCGCAGTCATTGCTGTAGAGAAACACCTCCATAGCAGAATGCTGCCTCCATCATGCTTTACTGTAGGGATGGAGTTCTGTGGGTGATGTGCTGTATTGGGTTTTTGCCAAACATGTGCAATATTTTGCATTTAGGCTAAAAAGTTTCAGGCCACAAACCTTTTTTCCATGTGGCTTCAGAATCTTCACAGTGTTGTGTTGCATGCTGTACCTCAAACGACAATTGATGTGGACATTTTTGAGTAGCTGCTTGCTACCCTTCCATACAGCCCACAGTTGTGACATGTATACTGTACATTGACCAGTCATTGATATGAAGGCCTGAAAGTCCTTCAAAGTTGCCACTAGATTCTCGGTGCCTTCTGTGATTAGTCTTTTGCTTGCTTAGTCATCCATTTTGGAGGGACGAACTGACCCAATTAGGGTCTTGATGGTGCCAAATGCCTTTCGCTTCATCATGATGATCTTGCTCCAAGGGATGCCTGTGCTCCAAGGGATATTTAAGGCCTTTGAAATCTTTTTATATCCATCTGCTGCTCTGTGACTTTCCACAGCTTTATTCTGGTGGTCTTTTGATATCTTCTTATTGCTCATAGGTGACTCTTCCCTTTGGGATGCACTGCCTAGCAGGAGAGACTTACAGTGACAGCTGAATTTTGGAAAAGAGTTTTGAGAAGAAAAATTGAAAAAGTTTCCGAAACCAATTCTGAATAATTAGTGAATCACTATAATTTAACACAGCCAGAGGCTAATTTTTTAGAATGGTTGAGCATCTGTTTTTCAGTTGGAGGTTGTGTGTTACAGTGTGTAAATAAAGGTAAAATAAATTCAGATTTAATGTGTCTTGATTTTTGGCTGTTAGACTACAAAATGTGTTAGTTTGGGAAGGGTCAGTAAACTTTCTATAGGCACTGTATGCGACCGTCACTGTTCCACATGGGCTCGTGCCCTGCTGCTTCACCACGCCAGTTTGTCCTGCAACACCTAGGGCGCGAACCCAGGTCTCCGGGGTAACGCAACAGGGAACCGGCCGCATGAGCTAAAGGAGACCTCCATCAGCCCAGGCGGCTGAGGTCCCTGCTACGCGCAGGGAGAGCGTTGACGTCACCGTGCCCAAACTAGCTCCGCTACACATACATACCGTACAGTGCCTTGAAAAGTATACTCCTCCCTCCAATGATGTCCCATTTTTCTGAATTATAAACAATTACAATACTGACCGTCCATTAAATTCATTTACATCTTATGTAAATCAACGTAAAGCAAATTACGGTAAGGGGGTTAATACTTTTTCAAGGTACTGTACGTTTGATAAATAGCTGCAACACTTTTTTTTGCGGTGGTATCTAAGATCTCATAAACCGATATAAGAGGTGTTAATAGCGGCTTGTCTAGCACCGATTAAATAAATATAGGCGCGAGTGGAAGTGGGAATGATTTTCTAACCCAGAGCAAGGTTGGATAAACAACTAAAACATAAAAAAATGACATTGCCATAGAACATACCTATGACACCGCGAGAGATGAATGTATCCCCAGATTGTGTTTTACTGTGATTCTGTGTGTGTCTATGCATATTTGTGAGTGACAGTGTGTTTGAGGAGGCTCCAACTTAAAATCTGAAATCTACTTTTCCATAACATCCTGTTATTAATTTTGGTATTCCACAGCTTTATTGAAATCATGTTCATTACAATGGACTGTTGAGATTTATCATTACCATCACAAGTGTCTAAGAGGAGGATGGCATTAATTAAATAAAAAGGTAAAAAAAACTAAATGGGTTGCCTCTATTGTACATAGCTTATGCATGTGTTGAGTGGGCTTGTTTACTAATGACAGTACTTAATCATTTTCCTTCATATATTATTTTATTCAGATGTCATAGGAACTATTTACAATAGTAAATCATGTGGCTTATCAATAATTGCTCTTAGTTTGGCTCTGAGTAAATGTTTTTTTTTCCACTTTTATCAAAAAACATGCTTTTTTAAAGAGCATTCAGCTTACCAGGCACATTTTGAAATGGTTTTTATAAAAACAAATGACAGCACTGTGGAAATGCCTATTTTGAGAATTTGTCATTTCCAGCTCAAAACAATTTATAATATACACATCTAAAGTAAATTTAAAATATAATATATAATATCATTTGGGACATTTTAATGTCTTTTACATGACTTTCCTTAGAGTTACAAGAAAGAGAAGATCAAGAGTTTCTTCTTAGTAATATTACTGTACTACGCTCACACAAGCATTTATTATATTTTAAAATCTATTTAACTATGAATGAGGTGTTATGAAAAAAGCTTAAAAACAAAGACAAAAATTGAAAAGCTTTCACATTAGAACTGAAACTTAATTTAGTATTTTCACAATGCTATTTTACTAAATTTGTAGCACTTTTTTTTAGATGTAGTACTTTTAGGAAATCATGAACACACCACAAAAGTTAATTAAAATAAAAAAATAAGCACATAATTAAAGTGATTTTGTTGTAAACAAATTAATTAAGTTCATGTATATAGAGTATTTAATTCTAAAAAGATATCACATAAAATTGGCTAAGTATTGTATTCTTGTATTCCAAGCTTGTATTCTTACAATGTTATGGCTTTAAAATGGTGGCAACTTTTGATCACAACAACACATCTGACAGTTTGTTTTATAAAAAATATAGAATGGTATTTTTATTTTTGGTTATCTTTAGACAACATGAAGCAAAAATTACCTTTAAGAAATGTTATTATATATAGAAAGAAACAAAAAAAGGAAACTGATTCAGATTAAGTCCTTATTGGTTTCAAGAACCCTGATTTGCACTAATCTTGGACTTTCTACCTTAGTAAGCAATAGTAACACAATATAGTCTGAGATTAGTGCTAATCAGTGTCCGTGAAACTATTGAACTCTCCATATTTTTAAAAAGGAAAATATCACATTGAGTGTGCTGAAATAAGAGCGTCTTACCCTGGTCAAGAAAATTAAATGCAATCTGTACGTTGGATACATCAGATGTACTCAATTTGATCAAATATATTGGGTCAGAGACCTGTTGCTGTGTTAATTAATGTATCACAGGAGGGAGTTAAACTTGCCCACAAACAGAAGCGTTATCAAAACACCATTTGTTTGACACAGTTTCATATTAAAACCTCCTTTCTGTGAAATTAAAGAAGTGTTCTTGTAACATAAAAGCTTTTGTTTTATCCTCTAAATTAATTATCTCAGCAATGTACATTTGTTATTAATAAACAATAAGGAATGGTCTGTATGTGTATTCTGTTGTGTAGGAGGTCTAGCCTAACAAGAAATCCACCGAAGTCCTCCCCCTCACATATTTTCACTGTTTACAGTATGTGCTATCACTGATAATATAAAGCATAATTAAACGGACATAATGGGAAACGCACCTGTTACACCTAAATGACATCTGCAGCTACTCTCTTAGGCTTTGTTACATGGACAAAGAAAGCATTGCCAGTAATTTTAATTAATAGAACCTGTGAATGAGACCTATTCAGTCACTCATTAATCTCTTTTTCTATGAGGATTTAGATAGCTCATTTTTTCCTTGGGAGTGTCAATTAACCTTTGAGTTGTAATAAACACAGACATTTAAAATTTATAATAGATTTGGATAGCATAATAATATTTTATTTGGGAAATACCCGGTTCCTATCTAAATATGGCAACACGGGTGCTGAATAAGCTTTTTAGGCATTAGTAACTTTAAACGCATACAGTACAAGATCTTAACATCAGGACACATTTTACCAGTCAATACACTAATCAGGATATCTTTGTGAAGTGGGAGGAAAGTGGATTATCTGGGGAAGACCCAACTGAACATGCACACTCCACACAGAAGGTACCCAGGGCTACGATTTCCTATATGCCACTGTCCCACCCAATGACAGTAATAATAATTACTGTCTGGCTCACTGCATTTTGGGCACAGGCTGGGGTACAATGCCAGGCTGGGGTGATACTGTTTGCTCAAAGTTCACGTCCAGAGACTTCAAGGTGTGTCTGTCTCCGGGCCGAACGAGGTGCGTCCTCATTAGGGGGTCTTCTCCTTCAGGGCGGAAACCAGACCGAGGGAGTTGTCCGCTGTCACTCATTAGTGACAGTGAACGCTGTGGTTTGTAACCAAGCTGTTTCCAGGCTCTGCCCTCGCTTGGCTCACTGTGTTTCACCCTGAACAAATGAGCCCTTTATATACCAACATGCCAAAAAAAATATTTTTATTAAAAACCATCACTGTGAGAAGGACAAGACAGCAACAGAGCGCAGGCCTGTGTCTTTACATGTTGAGTCATTCAGGATCCCAGATACATACAATTTTAATACTGAACTTCATTTTAAATACAGTATCTAGCCTTTTTATGTCAGTTCTTCACAACCTTACAATGATTCCATTCATTTGAAACCTCCAGGGGACCCAGTGGTATGAAACAATGCTTCTACAGAGCTGTTAAGGCTTCACACCAATTTTTAGACTCTGATTATGGTCATTGATTCATTGAATTCCTTCTACAGAAGAATCTGGACTCTTCTTAGTTTTAAAACATGTGCCAATAACATCAGCAACCCACCTCCTCATGTCCTTCTGCCTTTTAAAGCACATACAGTAAATCCAAAATAAAAAGATGAGGATCTCCAGTTCAAAATGGAGGCTTGTTTTTCTTGAGAGAAAACACTTTTCACATGTGTTTTTACACTAATGGCACCCAAAAGTGTAATTGTTTTGTGTTGGGCAAGTATTGAGTACATGAATGAGATTAGCATTAATTCACCTATAGTCTCAACAAACTGATAGAAGTTCGCTACACTGACTCGCCAAAAGTATCTACAGTGGGTGAGAAAGCTCATACCATAATATGGACAATTCATTGTTAAATGGAACTTAGCACGTCAGGAAAACCAGTAATTTGTTCTTCTGCTGCTCCCTAGTGGTAGACTTATTTATTTTATGCTGTGTTGACCACACATTAAACAAAACTCTCTGAGGTACTTGCATAATAAAGAATATGTTTTACCTGTCTAGTCTACATCCTGACACACACAAAACAAATACGTAAATAAATTATTTAGAGAAGTAAATTATTGAAATTGCCTTGTATTATGAACTGAGTAAGCACTACTGAGATATTCCATTTAATGGTTTAGCAAATTACCAACCATTTATTTGAATATATGAGTCTTTGCAATGGTGGGTGACAAAGATCAGTGACAAGCATTCCAGTGTTGTAGTGTCTTTCGGGTACCTGACAGTTTTTTTTTTTACTCTGGGTCAACACTATTATTTTCTTCCTTGTCAATTTTGTCATTAGAACTCTGCTTCAACTTTAACTCCACCTCTTCTGTGAGTCGTTTGTCCTTTCTGCCCTGTTTCTTCATCTGAAGGATGGTGATCCAGAACAGAATGTATCCCACTCCACGGAGACTCAAAACCAGGCCCAGGAAGAGAAACCTGCCGAAATGTGCAAGATAAGTAGTTAATTTGCTAACAGTTTATATTAACTGTTCTGCATAAAGAAATAATTAAAAACATTAAAGTAACAAATGAGATATTTAAAGACAATACGTTCACATGCATTATGAAGTCCGAACTGAATGTATTTTGACTAAAACAGGGAATGACATTTAAAGTAATATCTCTTTGGATTGTAAACTTGCCTCCAAATCAACCAGACACCTTTAGCTCAAGAAGGTTGGTCACCTCTCCGCTAGATAAGAGAATCTGGGTTATATCTAAATTTTATCGCTCTTTTGTGATAATAATAATAATAATAATAATTGCTTAGACTAATATAGCATTTTCCTGGAGACTCCACTCAAAGTGCTTTACAGGTAATGGGGGCTCCCTTCCACCACCACCAATCTATAGCATCCACCTGGATGATGCAACAGCACCCATAGTGCACCAGTATGCTCACCACACATCAGCTGTCAGGGGAGAGTGATGGAGCCAGTTCATACATGGGGATTACTAGGAGGCCATGATTGGTAAAGGCCAAATTTGGCCAGGACATTGGGGTAACACCCTTACCAAGTGCCCTGGAAGTTTTAATGACCACAGAGAGTCATAAACACAGTTTTACATCTCATCTGAAGGACAGCACCTTTTTACAGTATAGTGTCCCATTCACTATAATGGGGCATTAGGACCTACACAGATCACAGGGTGAGCACCTCCTATTGGCCAAACTAACACCTCTTCCAGCAGTAACCTTAGTTTTTCCCAGGAGGTCTCCCATCCAGGTACTGGCCAGGCTCACACCTGCTGAGCTTCAGTGGGTTGCCACTTGTGAGTTGCATCTGATATAGCTGCTGGCAATGATTCATAGAGCACCTTCTGGAGCTTTCCCTCTTTTAATTTGTATATCCTCATAATTTGTACAGGCTCTTTGCAAGTGGGCTGTACTAAGGATGACCTTTTCAGACTACCTGATCAGGGGAACAATTTGGTTGACAAAAAGAAATCTAACCCGCAATGTGATTCTGCTTAGCTTGGATGTTAATTTGTTTCAGTTTGGAATTAATGTGTAATGTTCCTCATCTGCCCCAATGTGTCTGGTTAATCGGGGGCCAGATGGCAACTTTGATATCTTTCTGATAATAATCTCATGATCAAACTGCAATTTTGGTGAAAATGTATTATAATAGTACCAACACACTCTTGTAACTTTTACTCTTCAGACTTGCTGATAGTGTTCTATCATGGTTACAGTTTATCAAAAGCCTGAGACCTGACATTTTCTCATGTGTTTTCTGTATGTTATTGTTTGAGACCAAAATGGACAATATAGAAGCACACTTTTTTTCACTGTTGGCTTTTCCTTAATAGTTGACATTTAAATATTAAGTAGTTCAGGTGGGTAGCTGCGTCAGCATGCGGAGGCTGCAAGGAACAAGTAATACGTTTATTCCATGATGAAAAAAGAAGAAAGAAAACACAACGTTTCAGCCATGGAGCCTTCTTCAGGTGTGAGCACCTGAGTAAATGAGAAGGCTCCATGGTCAAAACGTTGTGTTTTCTTTCTTCTTTTTTTCAGCATGGAATAAACCTATTATTTGTTCCTTTGCAATATAAATTATAATGCACGTAAAAAAAGATACAGTATGTCACATACTGTAGGTCAAAAACCTATAAAAATATTCATAAATGCAGACAAATTAACAGGTGCACATTCGTAACTAAAATTACCAATAAAGTGTGTAACATGCTGATTGTGTCCAGCATTCTAACACTTCTTTTATCTGATGTACAAAAAGTGTCATTACTGCTACGTCTTTGAATGTGTTTAGAGAACTGCTGACGTTGGTGGAAGGAGTAGACATACTTGATACTGAAACTGACTCTCACCTAGGCAAGAACCATTTAGTATCATTACATTGTTATGCATTACTTTTGAAAAAGCGGAACATCAGAACACATCTGTCATTGGCACAGATACAGTTGTTGGAAAAAAAATATTTTGACTTCTATTTAAAAATAATTTATATTTCTGCCTTTACACTACAAAGGTATTTTTATGAAGATATGAAGAGCTGTTTACAGTACTATTTTAGCCAGTCCTAGAATACAGCAAAGCGGTGCTTTGTTCAAAGGATATTGGATGGATTGTAGGCTCTTAAAACAATTTCAGTGAGACCTTTTACTAACTGCAGCACTGTGTGCAGCTCGTTGTGCGAAAGGAAGCCAGGATACCTGAAGGTTTCGATGTCGTACATCCTACACGCTCCTTTCCCGCCACACTTCCTGATTCCCCATTTGACACATGTGGAGTCAATGAGGGCTCCGAAGTAAATCGGAGCAGGGATTCCACCTGCCAGAATGGATGGAAAACAGAAGAAGAGGAGTGAGAAAGCTGAAAACTCTTTTATATATACAATAAATTGCCAGTTAATTCTGTTTATACCCTTCTGACTTGGAATAGCCCGCAGCCACCTCACAGAAGGGAGAGAGTGGACTCCTCTGATATTCCCACTTCTTCTTTAACACATCACAGACCCCGTACTGGGGCTTCAGTGTGGATTGGGAGACACTACCCCCACTGTCAATACTATATGCCTGCAAAAGTCTGGGAGGCTACAGGGGGCGCTGTGTTCCCGAGAGCAGAGATGAGCCCTGACTGATGAATCCCATCCTGCTTTCAGCAGCGCTAATCTAATTGTGTTTTTTTTTCACACATCAGCTATCAGGTGCCAACTGCAGACAGCACACAGTGAGAATGTACTGTACAGGCAGACTTCTTCGACCCACCCACTTTTTCTGTCACTTACTGTTTAATGTGTCAGAGGTAGTACAGCCCAAATAGAAACTATCCTTTAAAAGCAGGCCATTTCCTGAAGGACCCTAACAAATCAGGACCCGCGAGGAGCCTGTCTATTTGTGGTTAAACACAGAGCTTTCTTTCACATCTGGGTATGGAGGTTCTCTTACCACTGTGGTTGGGTGTCTTCCAGTTCCGCATTTTAATATTTTTTTTCTGTAATTACCTAAAGACATTATTCATTCATATCTACACTGCTCTCTGACTACATATACAGTCCTCTGGATAGTGACATTTACACATGACGTGTATCTATTAGGACAGCATGGTGGGTCAGTGATTGGCATTGTTGGCTTGCAGAGTTGTGGCCCTGGGTTCAAGAGGCTAGTCTCTTTACCAGCCATCAGACAGAAGAAAAATATACCCTACATGCTCTGCTGTATTAGGCAGGCCCTATTCCCAGTTTGCCAGCCGGCCTTATCAAAGACAAAGCAGATGCATCTACCACCCCCTTACACACACTAAGGCACTTTCTAAATAGTCTACAGAAGAACTTTGTTAAACTGAAAGCCATCTTATAAGGTCTTCTGGAAACATTATTAGGGAACAAAGCTTCTCATGACCCTTGCCCAAAATAAGCATCCTCTAATAAACCTTGCTTTATTGTATGTACCATCACATTATACTGTATACATATATGTATAAATGAAAGCTGAAATCACACGAATGAACGCTTTTGTTCAGATACATATATAAATAACTGTCAAAATGTTCAGCAACTACAGGCTACACTGACAGGCTAAAGTAACTGAATCTTTTTAGTCTTGAACATACAAGACTATGAGGGGACCTGATGTCCAGAATCCTCAAAAGTACTGACAAAAGTCAGCCCAACCATTTTCTCAAGAATGAGCAGTGAAACACGAACTAAAGAGAGTAAATTGGAGACTGCAATGAAGTGCACCAAAAAACAAGAAAAAGAGACACTGCTTTATGTAACAGGTGGAGGGAGAAGAAGTTGCCCAGCCATGTTGAAGCCCATACCATGACTCAAGAAACAGCTGACTGAGGTGCTTGGATCAATTAACTAATAACTACCAAACTGGCTAGATGGGCTGAATGGTCTTTTCTTGTTTTAAACATGATGGTCTTCTATTCTTTTGCAGATTTTGCCATTTTCAAATGTTTGAAATTCTTGTTTTCAAAGTGAGCATAAAAAATAAGATAACATAACCACTTTGTTTGATTCCAGGTTTCTTTCATCGGAATTGCACCTGAGCATTATGCAATAACTGAATATTTCGCTTACCAAGTACTCTGAGAGCCAACATGTAAATTCCCACAGAGAGTGCCTTTAGCTCTGGTTCCACACACCTGTCCATAAATGACACAATATCCATTAACATTGAAAAACCTTACTCAATAAAAAGAGCCAATTTTCAGAAATACTTTATAAAAACTCAGGGCCAGTCCTAAAAGAAATTTAATGTATGTACTGTATATAAATATTTTATTGTATGCACTTCATCAATTTCCCTTCGGGATCAATAAAGTCTTATCTATCTATCTTCATAGGCTTTGTCACTTTAAATCTGTAGGCTAAAAACACAAAATCTATGTACAGTATTTATTTATGTCTCTAGGAGTTTTACCATACAGTACCTGAGGACTATAATGAAAAGAGGAGTGCTTCCTAGGCAGTAGATGAAGAAACTCAGTGACTGCAGAGCAAGGAAGATGGTGAACATCATAGTGCACTTATCTTCTCTTGGACATTGTCCTAGTACTGCAGAGAAATGCCCTGTTACGTTTCCAACGCCTTCAATGCAGCTGCATCCATGGAACGTCTAGGATTGAATAACATTGGGTGGTCAGGATCGATGGTCATACCATGGCTGTGAGCTGAGATGTAAAGAAACTACTGGTAATTCCAAACTGAGGGTGAAACTCAAAAAGGGCAAAGAGATGAGCAAAGACAGAAGAATATGCAGGAGAGAGAGTCTCCTTCCTGTGGAATCCCTATAGCCCTACAGCAGTTACAGATCATTTCTGCCTTTACACTACAAAGGTATGACAGGATTAATGAAATTAGTGCCTAGAGTGCAAAACGGAACATGTGTGGTAAATATCTAATGGTAAATGTTATAGAAACTTTTAAACATCACTTGTTATTTCAAATATGGATGGATGTTTGCCCATTATGCCTTCTGGCATGTAGTGGCAGCAATTCCGTTGCTGTTACCTTAGCATTCGTTTTTTACAGGACAGGGTTGTTAACCTCCAACATGGAGGACCTGGCGCCCGACATGGGACACGAACCCACTGCCCTTAGATTATGGGTCTCATTCTCTACCAACAGAGCTCGCCGGGGCCCATTTCAAACATAAATTCAGTATTAAATATATTGCAAGTTCTCGTCAATGCCAAAACAAAGCACAGTGTCAACAAGATAAGGTTACTCAAGGGGGAATGTAGAGTAACGCTGAGGAAGCTCACTGTGTTTTTTCCAGTTCCACTGGTGGAGTTGCAGCCAGCCAGACATGGAGAGATGTAGGTTAATCCATTCTCTCCGCACACTGGGTCCCACTGGTTTTGCGAACAAGCACAGGCAGAATTACACAGAGACAGAAGACTGCCATCTTTGCTCTTGATTCGCTCTGACCTGGAAAACAAGACAAAAGCTCATCCTAAATTGTCGAAAAAGTATTTTTCACCTCATCCAGAATCTATATACTGTATATGCAGGGCAATATTTGACTAAAAACTGTACAAAATGTGAAATCATGTCAAAGCATTGTTAAATGATGTCTTTGTGTGCTGTTCTGAAACTGAATAACAAGTGTTATATTACACAGTCTACAATCATCCATCATAACCCTTGAGAAAGAGAAATGTACCCTCTCATGGGGTCTGCTTGGCTTATCTGTCACTAAACTCATCAGAGAATTCATCCATCCATTTTCCAAGCGGCCCTTCCATTACAGGGTCGTGGGAGAGCTGGAGCCTATCCCAGCAATGAGTGCAAGGCAGGATACACCCTGGACGAGACACCTGTCCATCAGAGGGCACACACGGACACCGACACATACACAAGAGCCAATCTTCCCACACACCAAATTAGCTACCAGTATGTCTTTGGACTGTGGGAGGAAACTAGAGCAATTGGAGGAAACCCCCACAAACATGGGGAAAACATATGAATTCCATGCAAATGGGATTATAGGTCCAGAATTGAACCCAGGGCCCCAGTGCTGCAAGGCAGCATTGCTAGCCACTGTGCCATCCCATGTCAGAAAATGTAAGTAGCTAAAATTAAGTTTTCTGAAATCTATCGTCCTCACCCTTCGTAAGAAACAGTCAGCCCGGCAATGTTCGAGTTCTCACAGGTAAGAGCAAAGTAAGGCAGGGTGCACAGGTAGCCGCAAATGGATGTCCAGAAAGCCACCTTTGCAGCTCCTTCCATGTCTAATTTAAATCGTTTCATGATGATTCCACTGATGAAAATCCCAAGAGACACAGACGGCATAGTAGTAACCCCTCCAAAAAACAAGAATCAAGAATTTTACAAATGCATTTCGGACGGCTTGGTTGACAGAACATGGCAATCTTATTGCTAAATTCTCTCAGGGCTTGAAAATACGGCATGCTAAATTAGTACATCATTTATTATTTTGTTCACTGATAAATTCTGCTTTAACTTGGCAGACCTGATGGAAGGATATATAGTGGTCACTGTTTTGCTGACAGGTAGGGGGTGGAACTGTGACAATGTAGTGAGGAATCTCCTTTAACACTACTAAGAATTATTCATAATTCCTTACACTTGTATAGCACTTTTCTGGACACTTTACGAGTAATGGGGACTCCCCTCCACCACTGCCAATGTGTAGCCCCCACCTGGATGATACAATGGCCGCCAAAATGTGCCAGAACACTCCTCACACATCAACTATCAGTGGAGAGGAGAACAGAGTGATGAAGCCAATTCCTAGATGGGCGGGCCATAATTGGCCAGGACACTGGAGTTGACAACCCTACCTTTTTTTTTTAAACGACCTGGGATTTTTAATGACCAAGGAGGGTCAGAATGTCAGTTTTACATCTCAACCAACCCACACCAACCTCAGAGACTGACAGGTGAGCGCTCCCTACTGGTCCCACTAACACTTCTTCCAGCAGCAACCTTAGCTTTCCCAGGAATGTCTCTCATTAAAAAAGGTTACATTAAAAAAGTTGAATTTAATTTCCATTAAGTTAAATCCATTATTCCCAAGTGTTCCATTTCTTTCGTACCTCAGTATAATTTTTCAAATATAAGCTTCTTGTAGTCTTGTAGTTTGCAGTCTAGATCTTATGTTACACAATTGAAATAATTAACCTTACCTATGAGAAAGTTTGCAGTGGATGCGCTTTGTCCAAACTGCTGCTCAAGGTATTTTGGTGTGTATGTCAATATGATGACAAAACCATTGAACATAAGAATACTGGAAATCACATAGAGGACATATATTTTGTTGGTAAGCAGACGTTTCAAAGATGGCAAAAAACCTGTAAAAATGTAAAAATAACATATGAAAATATGAAGGACATAAGGCTTTTTTCACAATATTTATACAATGTTTTTTTTTTTCTTCTAGAGAGTTTTTTGTTGCTTGTGCAATTTGTATTGAACAAAGTCACGGTAGGCAGAGAATATACTCTAAATTTGCTGAGGACCACAACCCAATAAAATATAATCGTTTTTGGTCATTTGAAAATAAAAATACTACAAGATAGTAGGGTAGAAAACCTTAATTTCATACTTTGACAAATGCATTTGGGCATCTTCAGGTTTCTATTTTATTCAACTATCCATAACCTTCTGTACATTGTTGTGTCCTTGTTTTTTCTTTTGTATTTTCAGTAAATGCTTTGTTCTTAGAGGGTGCGTTGTGGGGTCTAACCTAGCAGGCACAAGGAGCTAGGTTTTTCTGTACATTGGAGGGAACATCAAATCACCCCCAAGAGCACAGGGCACATATACAAATATTCAAGTGGGTATAATTTAGAGATGCCAGTTAGCCTCAACACTACATCTTTAGACTGGGGAGAAACTGGAGCACCCGGACAAAAATAAAGTGAAGTGGGAGAATGCGCAAACTTCACACAGAATTTGCCCCTAGCCAGAATCCCGTACTCAAGACCTATAAAACCACAACACAAATGATCACCGTGCTGCCACTATTAAAATCAGTTTTTACCAGTGCTCTCTAGGAACACATTACCTTTTGCTATTTCCTTTATCCTGGTTTTGATGTGTGTCTGAACAGCCTGCCGGTGGGACTGTTCTTCAGGGCTGTCATACGTCTCTCTGCTTCCCCCCTCCTCTGGCAGAGATCTTGGCAGGAACCAGTAGGGCAGAGCAGTAAGCAGGGTGAGTCCACCGGCCACTATGAATCCCAGCCACCATGCCCCAACCCAGCGCATGTCCTTCAGAGTGATAGTCACAGTCTCTGGGGTGAGCACAAGTAGAAATTCACCAGCTTCTGCTCTATGCACTTTCAATGTGACTTAGGATGTGTTGTCACCTGTACACTGTATGTCCCAGGATGTGGGCCATTGATGCAGTACCATGCTGTGATAAATCGGGTTGTGTTGATGGCCAGGATCATGTCAATGTGACAGTAGAGCAGGGAACAATTAGTAACAATGGACACACCCAGGTCGTCCAGGAAGCAATTAGGTACTGACGCATGGAGGTACAAGGGGTTGCTGAGCCAGCTGAATCAGACCTTGGGCAGAGGGGGGGAGCAGTAAAGCAAACAAAGAAAGGATAAGTGCCCATGGCATCCGGGACATGACATCCTGATGAGCCCCTCGACACAAGACAGGAGGCGCAAGGAAAGCCACAGCCTGCGAGACCACAGAGGAGATCGGTCCAGGAGCTGCAGACCAAAGGAGACTTTGGCCATGGAACAGAGGTGCTGTGCAGAGACGTTCAATACTTGGAGGCAAGAAGCAAAGAAACCAGCCTGGTGAGTCGATACCGAACCAAAGGAAACGTAGTACAGCCTAAAGGAGGACTCCTGATCTGGTCCAAACGGAGACTGGGGGAATTGGACTGTGTGGCATCCCTCCCCTATGCAATGCTGTCTACTCTGTACCACCAAGACTTTCTAATGCCCTCTTCTCGTCCTGAAAGGACATCTGACCCTGAGGAACTCATTATGACCCTTGGAAATATAATTTTGTTGCTGTGAATGCTGTACTCTTTGTCTTGGGGTGATAGTAAATGCTGATATACTTAGAAAATAAAAAAGACACTTATATCATACTAATGCTTGTTGTTGGTCTTTGTGTGCATTGGTGATTCTGGGAGATGAAGAGAACCTGTGGTAATGTAGAGGGGCCTTAGAACCATATTTGTACTGCTAGGTGGCATATTCGTTACGAGGCAGGATATAATTCTTGTTTGAGGGGGCACCTCACTGTGACATGTACATTTGCAAATGCAACGCTACTTAGCTCCAAAGGAAAGCACTTCCTGTAGTTTCAGATTGCAATCCATGGGCTAAGGTTAGAATGATCTATCAGCAAAAGTTAAGATATGCAAAACAATATGAACCATGTTTTTTTTGCAAACCTGAAATTTGGGCACAAAGAAGAAATACGTCAGAGCAAAATGATTTGCACTTGCAGCATTCTGATTTAGAGATACTAATGACACTAATGCTCCCCAAATTATGCAAAAATGCAATAGAGAAACGCAAATACAAAATGAATGTTTCTTTTAGAACCGGGCATATATTCTACAGATATTGCAAATTAAATACTCTACTTTGCACTGATGCAGACATTGTACTTCTAATATTAATATAATGTTAATGTTTCATTTTTAATATGGCAGAATACCCTTCTCTCACAGAAAGGGATAGGTAGGAAATCAGCTTTGATCTACTGTTCAAGTCTGATTGAATGTCACTATAGTGTACTATTACAGTCAACTAACATGTTTTGGCACAGATATGAATTTTTGTTTTTTAAAACAGACATTTCCTTATACAAATCGAGCTAATTCTCCATTATGCGATGTGCTATTGTGATATGTGACTGTACGATTTTGCATTCTCTCATAGTTAAGTATCTTACCTAGGTTGACAAAGCCAATGTCCACATACTGTCTGGCGCAGAACGATCCCAGAGTGAAACCAAAGATAGGACCAATCACAGCAATGGTATGGAGACAACCTAAGACCAATATGAATTCAAACCGGAGCTCAGATCAGACTGAGAAGATTATGAATCAATATAAGCTCAATTGTGTTAGACTTACCAATGTAAAAAGCTGAGTTTTCTGGCCTGGCGAAATCATCAATGAATGAAATACCCAGCGGTCCTGTAGTAGCCTCTCCAACTCCTCTCAACATGTTCCCAAGCAGTACGAGCACCCACATTGAAGATCTCTGCTCTTTTTCACAAGCTGAACACAAACAAAATGCTTCAAAATATTGTACGAAAACCGGGCTAAGTATCAACATTAGAATACTCCTTATAGAGATAAAACTTGATTTGTGAGGCTATTGTTGTTCACAAATGTGGTTATTGTAGTTCATGTAGGGAGCTGCGTCAGCATGCGTAGGCTACAAAGGAACATGTAACGGGTTTACTCCCTGCCGAAAAGAAAAGAAACACAACGTTTCGGCTGTGGAGCCTTCTTCAGGTGTGCCTTCTTCAGCCTTCTTCTTCACCTGAAGAAATACCTGAAGAAGTCTCCACAGCCGAAACGTTGTGTTTCTTTTCTTTTCTTTTCAGCATGGAATAAACCCGTTACATGTTCCTATGTGGTTATTTGTCAGGTTGTATATTTAAGCAACTTGTCAGGAGAGAAAAGCAGTAATGTCAGCATGACTGAAAGCTATCAAGGAGTTTCAGAAATGTAAGACTTTAAGAAATTGTTTAAGACATTGCCAAAGCACAAAAATAATATCACTCTATAACTATACAATCTGTATGACAAATGTTTTGGCATAGGTTGAGATTATCATGGTGATTTCACTCATCAAGATGCAGGAATGTTGATTTCTTGCAACCAGTCATTTGGAATAATAGGTTTACTTCTGGTTCAGGTTATGAGTAATGGGCATGTGTAGGAATGCAAGCTCCAAGCATGCACACTACTATACTACCAGTATTAGTCATGATGCTGGACACAGGACAATATGCAGGTTATAATGCAGCATGGCGCAAATCTGTGTTTTGTTTGCTCATGTGAGTCTCTTGGTTTCATCAAATCCAAAAAATGTTAAATACAAATATTAGTGAAATCCTTCCTGAGTTTGGAGGCCCAGTAAGGAAAGAAACAGTGTTTAAAATGATCCAGATCACGTGGGGAACTGTAAAGGAACAAATAAAGGTTGTAAGTGAGGAAGAACACATAAAGGTTGATTTCACACTGAGATATGAAACATAACAATTTGGATGCTGGGCCTTCTTCGTGCATGCACTAACCCTAACTCCACATCTGAAGAAGCCCCAACACCTAAAACATTGTTTCTTTTTTATTTTACTGTTCAGTGTGGAATTAACCTTGACTTGTTCCTGTGTATAGAGTCATGTTTGATTAAGTGCATTATTATCACTATTACTAATATTTTCAACATCTTACCAGTTACTGACTGTTGGAGGACATCCTGGGCTAACGAAGGACTGGAGTCTTTTGAACATGGAGTGAGCATCGTGATGTTAGGAACAGGTGAAGTGGATACAACAGATTCATAATGGTAGCTGTATAAAAAACACCTTCCAGTTCAGATTAATATTTCTTTACATTTCTGTACCACCTCACATCCCAGAGTACTTTATACACTTTATTGGAACCACTTCATTCACCCCAAGGTGCAGAATCCACATGGGTGAGCAGCTTTTCTGCACTGGCAGTCACACTATAAAGCAGAACAGGCAGAGAAATTAGGAATTGCTTTGCCAGTTGAATTTAGAGGTATCTTTTGGCAAGGCCAGATTCTGCAAGCCTAGAATGGAATTGAGCCAGGACAAAGTGGTTAACACTACTGCTCTTTCAAGCTGTGCAACTTGATCTTTAACGATTCAGGACCTCATTATAATATCTAAGAACAGAGCATCATGCAGCAAAAAGTGTACCCTGTCACCATACTGAGGCAACAGTTTGGAAATCCTACACCAGCAGGAAGACTGCCACCTGTCAACTGCCAACATTGCATATAGCAACACACAGATTTTCCTTTTTTTAATAACCATCCTACACAACTACAGTAAGACTCTTCCTCAATTTATGATCTGATTCCTGATTTCATGTTGGACTATTACTCCTGTCAGGTTCATAGCATAATTCTCACTGCATCAAGATTGGGAAATCAGAAATTCCTGAAGTGGGTGGAAATGATAAACTCTGCACAGCATGTGCAATTTTGTGTAGAAGCTGCCAGAAATTTTTAACACAGCTTCTTGGAAATGTACTCCTGATGAGTTCACTTGTTTTTCTGTTTTATTCCAGAGCACAACCGTCTTCAAATAGGGCTAGTATTCCTTCTAGGATTTTCCTACATCTATCTTGCGTGCTAACAAGACGTGTGAAGACTAAAAGGTCATTTTCAATGTGCAAACGTACCGTCCCATGAGAAAGTGTGGCAGTGCCATGAGCAGTGTCCCCATGGACATGAGCAGGCATCCTGCTCCAATTAGCTTTGGTCTGTGAAACTTTGCTCCAAAGTAGCTTACAACAGATATCACCAGCAGGTTCCCTTAAACATAAAGATCGGTAAGAACATAGTCAAAACCGTCATGCTGATTTTAAAACAAAACATACATAAAGCAAAGCACTGTGCTTTTTAATCGTACCTACCCATTTCAAAACTCCCATCAATAATGCCAACGACGGAGCTTGGAATCTCAAATCTTCTTTCTATCTGAGTGATGGTACTTTTGGTGTAGCTTGCAGATAAGGATTTGCAAAAGTAGGATAAAGCTAGAGCTGCCAAGAACATCTGAGAAGAAAACAGATATGTGTGATATTGCTTTTTCATTTCGGGTGCTAGGGATGCACAGGACACTTGCAGAGCTCAGAAACACTGCATGCGTGCAGAAGACAGGCAGCAGAAAGACACGTTTGTAAGTCCTGTTAAAGTGTTAGGGTTTGTTACAAGTCCCACAGAGTTCATCTGTGCCATGCTTTCAAATTGAACAGTGCAAGCCAGGGAATGGATTGAAGAGAAAATTCCAGGCACGGGGACTGGAAATTGACTTTGCATGCTGAATATTATTACTGCTAGCTCTTTAATCAGTTAGTTCAATTATTCTGGCTGTACAACACTGGATTATTAAGTCAAGCTGTCAAGTTGTCTTACAGGTACTTTTCCAAACACTGCTAAATATATTGGAAAATTCTTAAGCTTCCAATTACAACAGGACTACTGCTGTTACTGTTTTGAAAAAGTGCCAAACAAAATCTTTGCTGCCTTTGAAAAGTGTAGACTAACTGAATGACATAATGTGTTTTTTTCTTATATTTATTCTGAAAGCCGTGCCGTTTGTACCGATTAAAGGTTGAGAGTATTTGTATTTGAAGCAGAGGTCAAGGCTGCTGTGAACACACCATTGCCTTTCACCTGGAACAGATGGATACCATTATCCAATGAAAGCATTCAGTCATTCTGGATGGAATGAATGGTGCAATGCAGTGTTCATAAGAATTGTTACAAATGAGAGGAGGCCATCCAGCATGTCTAGCCTTTTGGTACTTAATAGTCAACTGATCCTAGGATCTCAAACAGCTGTCACGTGACATGACCAAAGGTACTGGCCTCAACAATATGGCTGGGTAGCTTATTCCATACTCTCACAATACTATGGGTAAAGAATTTCCAACTGTAAACTTGGAAATATACACTTCCACTCAATGCACTTGTACTTGGTATAATAATCAAGAAGTACAGCTACAAGAATTCTGTGTGAATAAGTTTTCATGTTCCACTATGTGTAAACAGCTAATGTATGCATAAAAAAATTG